TTTTTTTTTCTTTTTGTTGTTGTCTTTGATTAGCTTCCTACATTAATGATTGTTTGCAATATCTCCAGAATCATTTAGTAATTATTTCTATATATTTCTATAATGTGATATTTTAAAGCGCGCTTTCATTGGCTTTTTTTCATTAAACGTATAATAGGTTTTCACAGCGAGGCGATTGCGCAACCGAGAATCAATTTTTAAACAGAGTGGCCGAATTATGTTTTCTATTCGTACGGACATTGTATATATTCTGACATTTTCTGTAATTAGATAAGATATCGATTTTAAAATATTATAATTAGTTATAAAAGGTTTTTTCTTTCTTATTAGATAGTATTTTTGGGATTTGTTTTGTACATTTTAAAACTCCCACTCATTTAGTGCCTGCGTCACGCTAAGTGTGACAAGAAAATAAATCTGCTCGATTTTAAAATACTATAATTTTGTTTAGAGTCAAATAATAATATGAATACGCTGCAAACTTCCTGATTTTACCATGCACATTTAGCCCGGCATAGAATACATCATTGCGAAAAGCGACACTTATGAAATTTCGTAAACTCCGATGTCAGACACGGAATGCAGCTCAATGTCGACACTACTATGTTCTCAATACCTGCTAACACTTTTTGTATTTTTCTTGTGTATGAATTTATGATTAATCATTTTTTCGTGGAAATTTCGCATTTCGGCTTATTTGAAGAGAAAATCCATGTCCGCACGAATAAGTCACGCAGTCTATTCATACGAAAAAAAGAAAAAGTAATGAAAAACGTAATTCAAAAATTTCTTAATCTAGTTAACCGTGATTCGAAAAAATTAGACGTGAGTCGTGAGATCGCCAAATTTTTAGCCGTGAGTCGTACGTGATGCGTACCACCCCATTGAGACCCTCTTCAAAAACTGTTATGGTTGTCCTGGCGCCCTTGATCTGTAGGAGTCCATACAAACCCTTTTGTCATCAGTTTTAGATGAGACGAAAAAAGTATTCGTTTTTTCTTCGCTTTTTTTGCTTATTTCGGACGTATCACTTAAGCTTGAACAGATGATCTTTTTCTTGCCCTTAGAGAATTTTATTTGCTCTGTTTGGGCATGGACATCGGTTCTGGCACCATTTTGTCAAAATCCCTTATATCAATTTTATTTTCTGGTCTATCTAACCTGCTTACAAGCGTTCCTGCTGGGGGGCCGAGGGACTTAACTTTACATTTGTTTATCTTCGAAAAAAATTCTTTTGGATTCTTGCTAGAGGTATAGCTAGCAAAAAATTCATGGCCAGAAATTCCGGACATTTGAGCCCGGGACGAGACAGCGGGTTTTCCCACCAAAATAGAGGTTTCTACAAGTTCCCTTGAGGTTTGAACTTTTGAAGATCAAATTTTCTACTCTTGTGCAACGATCCTTTATCTTATAAATACAGTACTGGGCTAAAATCGAAACGTTCAAAACATCGACATCGACAAACGAGTATTGGGATAGCACGCCCTGATCCTTGAGTTCATTAGTGGCTTGTGAGGTGCTCCGTTTGGAATGTTCATAGTGTAAAAAATATTATAGTTGCTGGAACACACGTTTTCCTCAGGTAACATACGTTTGCCTCAGGGTTTTTTAAACAATGATCAGTTGATATTGTGATCTTTTGTTTATACTTGTACATTTCTAAGGAATTTAAAAGATCTGACATTGTTTACACTAGACTTGATTGGCCTATCTTTCGTTCGTATTTCCCGCTATCTGCGCCCGGGGGTGGGGGGCACTCCCATATATTTGCTATACGGGGACGTGCCGCTGGYMAGGGWATRRYTTTTGGCCTTGCTGTCTTAAACAGGGTATACATTTCACCCGAAATTGTCTTAAACAGGCTCGACAATTTAGATAAAAGACCGATATATTTTTTGTGTGTGCCTTAGACAGGGTAATATTTTCATAAGAAATACCGTAGAAATAATAAAAATACCGTTTCACTGTCCCAGGATTTACGTGTTATCAAAAATTCCTTATTGTCTTTGATGGATGTCAGTATAATTGCACTTTTGATGGTGGTGGTGCAGATTGCTATTCCTTATTTTTTGTCTTGAACAGGGTATGGATTTTCACTTTCTAGTGTCTTAAACAGGGTCAGGGATTTAGACCGCTGGCGGCACGTACCTATCGAAAATGCGCTATTTACCAGTGCGCGTAAGGCGCCAGTAAAAACCTCCAAAATTAAAAGCAGTCCCAGTATGAAAGCCATGTTTCTAAGGTTTATTTTGGTACCAAACATGGATAATAAAATGGAAGATCAGGYCAAGTATTCGCGTGAAACACGCGTCTTCGCCAGCCATTTCAGCGTCAAGTTAGCGTTTTCAAATTGTACGATTTCTAGTACCAAAAAGGACGCTGTTGATCGTCTTCAAAATAGCTGAAAATCGCTGTGTTCCTACCTCAATATGTGGACTTTGAGAAATGATCTATGGAATATCAGTGACATGTAAAGGAACACGATCAGCTACGGTGAAATTTCGCTTCTTCGCGAATTTTCACCATGAGATACAAAGCCAAGAGGGAGACGACGAAAGGAAAATAAATTGTCAAAAAGGACGCTGTTAACAATATTGGATTTATTTGGATTTCCTACAGTGGAATCAAGAATAGTTTCCCTCTACGAATTCATCTATGGAATCTTTCCAGCTATGTATATTTTGAACACATAATAACCTAGATATATACTTATGGATATATGGCTTCTATTATTAAACCGTAATGATCCCTTTTTGTCTCCCGTTTGATCATTCTGGGGGAAGGCCACTGTAATTGTGAGCTTTTTGACTTCCCATTATATCATATGACATCACAGAAATTTTGGTGTCAAAAGTGGTGGATATTTGGTGAAGTCTTACTGTCAGGTCAGACCCAGGATAAACTACAAGGATTTAAATTTAGAGGAATAGAATGTACTAATAGGAGAATCGAATTTGGGTCAAAAGATGGGAAGAGGAATCTTTGTAGCAAGTTAATGGTTTTTTGACAATACAACTGGAGATGTTTTTGCTGAAAGTGAGGAAGGGGAAGAGATGAAGCTTTAGGGGAGACAGTTAAGTCCAGGGGTTCTTGAACATCAGATTAGGCTGCTTGGGTTCACAGAGAAAAATGAGAGAGCCGGAAGAAATGGTAGCAATTAGGCAGGAAAGGGAGACCCTTAGAAAGGAGTTGGAGGCCAGAAGAGAGGAAACAGCCTTTTTGCAAGTGTAGTTTTCAATACATTTAGTGTAAATGTACCGCAAAACTGGTATTTTCCGGTCGGACTTTATCCCGATTAAGTCCCAGGACTCACGGTCATTCTAAAACTCCGAACTGGCTTTTATACCGGCGCTTTTATATTTCAAAACCTAATGTGATAGCGTAGGGATTGGGGCAGAGTGTTAATACTCAGGCTGCGGTAAGTTTTGAAATTCGTTTTATGACGTAAGTGAAAACCAAAAAATGCATTTCCTGATGACCACATATGGCTAGATGATTTGAATTCTATAATTTCTTTTGACATGGTTTTTGGTCAGTATTTTTAGATCACCACATGAATTATGTTGTAAGCGTATCCAAATCCTGACAAATCCATAACAGACTGACTGTTATCATTGTGTCATTTTTTTCCCTTTTAGGAAAGTATCAATTATTTTATAATCGTTTAAAATGGTAATCAAAAGTTCATTTGTATTTAGTTCTTAGATCCGTTGTTTCTTCCATAAGCCAATATCCATTCAGACCTACACATGATGATGGCTCCAGTGAATTACTAATGAAGCTGGTTTCCCGGGTAACCACTATTCGCTTGAAGACTGCCGGGATGGCACGATAGTGGTATGATCACTTTGAGTGACATCTCGATATTGTTTTGAGAGAGCAGGTGCAGTTTAAAATACGTTTAGGCTAACGCTCTCTTAGTATACACAAAGACACCGAAACCGAGGCTGATGCATATCTGAGTTCGGTTAAATCATTAAAGGCATACTTCAGATTGATCGCTTGGAAGAGTCTGCCATAGACATACAATTGATAGGCTATTATTTTCAGAGTTAATGACTTGCGTGTCAGAAGTCACAGATAAAATAGCACGCTATCATCATAAAAGAAGAAGAAAGTTCCCAAAGCACAGGAGCGAAAGTCGTCCGAGGAAGCATGGAAACCAACGTTATTTATGCTAATTTGCGCGCGACTCGTGAATTTCAAATTAGTCGACATGATGTGTACAAAATGGCGGATGCACTCTTACAAAGCAGTCCGAACGATTTGGGCCCTTTACGCTCAAATTCAACCGAGGATGACAGCGTTTGTACTGAGGATTCGTCCTTGAGTCCTAAGAGTATTGAATCGGACTGGAGTTTTACTACATTTGGGAGTAAAGCGAACAGTTTAGAGGATGATTACGATGGCCGTTCGAACGACGTCTTCGTCGGCACCAATGGAGACTTTGATTGTACAGACAAAAAATCGTCGATTGTAGATGGATTGTTATTTGAAATTTACGATCATTACCACACTAGAGACTCAGTCGATAGTGACAATGTAACCGAATGTTCAACAACTTCTGGGAGTATTTTTGGAGAGTCTTTTGATCTCGAAGATCAAGGAGAAAAATGGACTCGAAATTCCCTTCAAAGCAAAGGTGAAATCTTTTCTTGTGTGTAGAGTTAACACTTTTCAATAACATAAATATCAAACTCTCAGTTTGTCATCGCAATTTCGATTTAAACACCAAAGCGGAAAAAATCTAGCTTTAAAAAAAGTTGGAATCCAACGCACAACAAACAAATCCAAAAAATCCACTGTAAAAAAAATCCCATTTCAAGTCTTGCACTAATAATTGCTTTACTGGATGCCATGATTTTTTGGCTAAAGTTGGTCTATTCTATATTTTGTTCAATCATAAAACTAGTCACAGTAGCTTCTTAATGTAATGTTTAAATAATCTTTTACTGTTTACTTTCAGATCTCGAAGAAATTCGTGTTTTAGCCAAAGAATACAAAGTCCGTATTTCAATGTTGTCTGCTAAACTCGTAAAACAGCTAAAAAGGCGGGCAAAAAACGCTTACAAGCTTCAGAAGAACTTTGATATTTTAACTGCAGTGCTTCAAGCTGTTTCTCTCAAAAGAAGTAAGTCGTGTTCAAATCTAAAATGATCAATGATCCGTGAATGAAATTTCCATATATGATTAAGGTATAACTCACGACGTACGCTAAGCTTACTAAAGAGGAAATAGTGACATTATGATAAGAAGTGCTCTGAAGGTGCATCAATGTGCTGTGGACATATACTGTAGAACTTCAAAATTAAATTCAAAATATTGAAGCCAGTGTCTCTTGAAATTCTAAAATGATCGACTTCGCTTTGTTTATTTTGTAAACACTACTACAGCGGTGACGTGATATGGTTAAGTTATTTTTAAACTCTACTGTCTTAAAAATGAAATAATTAAAGTGAAGTTTGGCTTACACTACTACAGCGGTGACGTGATATGATTATTTTTAAACTCTACTGTCTTAAAAATGAAATAATTAAAATAAAGTTTGGCTTATGCTACTGCAGCGGTGACCTGATATGAGTATTTTTAATCTCTACTGACTTAAAAATAAAAAAAATGAAATAAAGTTTGGCTTTCAAACTCTATACGCTAAAGAAAACTAGTTCATCTGCTTTGCAATTCACATAGTTCTCTAAATATTAAGGGACTAGTTTCCAAATATATAAATTATGCTCTTCATATGGTAACTTTTTTTAAAAATTTGCTGTTATATCTTGCACAATATATATGCAGCCTCCTTGCCTGCCCAACCCCCTGAGAAATATCAAAAAAATGAGAATATATTGAATTAATTTTTACAAGCTCTTGATACAATGTTCTTTGTTGCAATTAATATATGCCAAGAGCACAGTGCTGAGCTGAAATTATATATTTTTAGAATAATCAACAATATCATAGTTTTATAAGTTGACAACTGTATAGACCAAAATTTCATTTAAAGTCAAAATTGTGCAATAATGTACAAAAAAGTTAGAGAAAGATCAATTATAAAAAAGGATAGGGAAAATTGAATTCAATGACACATTTAGTTGTTGATTTACAGTTTATTATAATATTTATTTGGCTTTAAGAGTTACTGACTACTAGTCTTCCAAAACCACAGTCCTTTCTCTGTGGTCTGTTGCTAGTTATTTCAGCTGTTTGCCAGTCTGTCACCTTTCCTTTAATTCAAAAGGGTTCAGTGTTGTGCTTGTTCTGATCAGTGATAACAACTGACCAGCTTTCATTGCTTTAACAAGTGCTGTGAGGGTGCTTTTGTATTTAAAGTAAAAGTAAATATACATATCTATGTGGTACTTAGGAAACACGTGTTTCTATGAGGACTGCTTATTATTCACCAACATATGTGTTACACGTAATGTAGATCATCAAAAATCCTACCTACTACATCCCACTTTGAACAGAGTGCTAAATACATGTACTTTTTTAACAGTAGTACTAATTAACCACATAAAATGTGAAATAGGAAATTTAATAAGATATTGATTGAATAGGACATACATGTAGCTGGTCCATAAGAAAAAATATTACATAACAATTCAACAAGACATGTAAAATAGTGCTTTATAGTACTGTATAAAGAAAGAGCTTCTCTTTGAGTTGTTGTGATTTAACTTGTTTAAGGCAAATGTGATTGGGATTTCTGAGAAGAAAATTATCCTTCTGTGCCAGCTTCAATGATATCTCATTTTTGAGACCCTGCAACATTTTTTCAATTAAGTATACTCTACCTTAAAAATACCCAACATTTCAGCAAAAGAGTAGTTGGTCTTGATCATCTGGTGGCTGAATGAAATGTTAGGTACATTGTAGTATCATTTACTTTTTACCAAGTTATAATAAGTCTCTAATGTAGTATTGTAGAGTGCTTACACTATGACCATGAAATAAAATGTATAAATAGTTACTAACAAATAGTTTTTATGTCGTGACTATTAGTGACTATATATTCAATTGAACAGTGTTAGTAAGTAAAAATACATTCTGTACACTTGGGAATCAAATGCAAAAGGGAACAATACCTCATTACAACTGTTCCAGTTGAGTGATAGCAACTAATAGTCACTAGATAAGAGCTATTTAGTAACTAATTAGATTTTATTTCATAGACATAGAGTGGTTTTCATAAACCCGTGAAACACACTTTAGCGTATTTATCGCTATTACACTTTGGCTCTTTTGTTTTTTATTGTCTCTACGCGACTATTACAATCTATTACACTCTAATTATTACACTTTGTTTCACGGGTTTATGAAAACCACTCTAGTATAAGCACTTTACTTTATCGCCTGTAAGCCATTACTACAAGCATGTCCATTATACAATGCCTTTATCATTATTAATTTCATTCTGTACATCAATTAATGCTGAAATTATGATTAACTCATACTTCAATTTATAAAATATATCAAAAACTATGGGATATCATCGCCAATATTTTTTTTCAGAAAGTGCTAGTGCTACATATTAGGCAACTTCAAAAAAATATCAGCGATGATATCCCATAATTTCTGAAAAAAATTATATAATTATACTTGGAATATGAATCAAAATGATTATATTGCTGTAAATTTTGTTAATTCATCATGTATCAAGTTATAATTTATGATGTGATATCAAAGAATATTAATGTGTCATAAATCAATGAATTAAACTGATTCATTATTATTTCCTTTTTCTATTTTCAGGGGTGGACACAAGAATTAGATTTTCCTATATCCCACAGAATGGCAAGAAAGCATTTAGACAGGTAAAAATGATAAGAAAAAACAACAATTGCGTGGCTTTGAATGAAGTGCTATTACTCTGTAATATGAATATGACTGACAGGTTTATAAAATTATGCTCAAAAATCTCAAAATTATGTGCTCATGCAATGTTAGCAGATATTTTGGCATGTGTATAACAACTCAAAAATGGTATAATATATATTGATTAAAGTAGTATAACTCATAAATAATGGGATATCACCTCTTTGTTAAAAAAATATTAGCAATGGTATCCCATAATTTGTAAGACTACTCTGATATATTAATATATAATAAAAACTAGGTGGGTCAGAATTATTGCAAATAGCTGTATGTGTAATATATTATTATAAAATGAATTGTACATGCATTAACAAGAAATGTTTCATTGAAGTGGTTAGATGCCTTTAAATCAATAGCTCGTCTGCCTCAAGGCCTACCAGCTCCTTGGAGAAAAAGGGTGAGACAAATGTCAAATAAAAGTGTAGTTGTTTATGCCTACTAACAATGTGCACTGTACATGTATAATATAAAGCATTTTAAAAACTCAATGAATGGTCATGTTATCAACTTTCTCAGCAAGATCTTAACAAGAGGCTCAACCTGGGCATGCTCCCAGTGAAAAATAATAACCCTAAGTCAAAAATTACATGCTTGATGTTTTGACGTCTATTTTTAAATAGGCGTCAAATGTTGCTTAAAAGCATCATTTTGACAATGATTTTAATTGTGATAGATAAGAGAATAATTCATAAATACATGTAGYTACAATTATGACTTAATCATTCTCTCTGAAACAAAACGTTTCACAAAATATTATTTTATTTACCGTTACTATGCTATTGTGAAAACTCTAAGGAATACGCATTTGATGAGCGAACAACTATTTTACCATATTGATCAGACGACATGGCTAGCCAGCAATGGGTCTTTTTAACCGGAAAATGACTGTTGACTGACATCCATGTAGTTGTTATAGCGTCTAACTTGGACCATGTAGTGTATCTCACCAGGAGTATATTTGATGTCTTTCAGCTGTGGCTGTGTCTTGCTGAGCATAGTTTGTCAGACCTTGACTGGTCAAAAACAGCTAAGTTCTGCTTCAATGAAAAAAGAAACCCCGATGATGACGAGCTAGGAACACAAATAGTCAAGGTTTGTACATGCACCGTAGGAGGTCATTAGCTTGTCAATTTTTCAAGTGCACGTGGAAATGATGCGCACGCTTAGATGCATGTATGAGGGAAATGCCTAGAATTTCGTGAGCTTCTAAGTCGGGAGTTGTTCAAGTCAGTCCTAGCGGTAAATCAGCGTTAACTTAGGATTCTAAGAATATACCCGGATCAATTACACTCAGCAGTAGGGATTTGTACGTTATTTTACAGCTAAGCAGCAAATATATACTAGAAATTGCGTTGTGAGAGGAAGAAAAGATTTCATCTTGTATGGGCAGTAGTCTCTCACAGAACTTCCCTGCGCCATCTTGAAAAGTACCCGTGGCTTTGCATCAAAGCGAGACGACCGTTGAACGTGCAACGATAAAAACCTTCTTTCACACCTACAGACAATAATTCACAGGTATCTATCATTGCGCACTCAACTATCCTTTCGCTGCGATGCAAAGACACGGCTACTTTTCAAGTTGGCGAAGGGAACCGTGCAAGACACCATCGATTCACATTCCCTTTTAAGCGCGGATACTGATCAATATTGAGAACATACCCCTTTCTTTTATGAATGATCGAGTTCTCATAGTATTTAATGCGTATTTAATCATCAATAATATAATATGAGGATCTACTGTCCAAGTGTTTTTTCCCTTCCACTTGTTTTCTTGAAAATACTTTTTTATTTTCTAAGAGGATTGGCCTTTCATTGAGCCACGCGGCCACTGTTAGCAAATACATTTAATAGAAGAAAAAACAACAAAGCAAAAACAAAAACACCTTACAAATGGGGGGTTTTGAGACAGGGTTACGTACTCATAAGAATGTTAACTATATATTTTTTACAATGAGGGACTCAAATTAGATTAAAATAATCAACATATTTGCCACCGAAAGAAGCTGTTTGTTATAATTATAGAGTGTTTGTAATAGAGGCAAATGATATCTGAAATAAAACATAAAATTTATGATTTAGTTACTGTCAAAAAACTTTTTCTCCAATTTTTGCATTTCAGACGTTATTGGAGTTTGAATTCTCTTGAAATTGCAATATTAAACAAATTGGGACTTAGTTTTCCATGAACATTCAAATTAAAAAGATAAATAACAAAGTATATTCTAAACAACACTTTTTAATGATTCTTACATATTTAGGCGTATGTTATATGTTAGGCGTATTTTTTAACCTGAACTTTGATTGCTATTTATCAAATTACATGTTATCCCCAGAAAACAGATGTATCGTTAAAATCTTAATTTACGATGCTTCGCTTGTGGTGTTTATTGATATAACTTTTCGGCGATTTGTTAGACCCACATTCTCCTCGAGTGCTTGTTAGTTTCCTGGGCAACCAATTCAGAGATTGCATGCATGGAAACGGTAGAGCGGAACACTTATAACTGTGAAAAAGCACAGATTACGGCAGGAATATGGCACGGTACACGGCATGAGAATTACTGATTCAACAATACATCCCTTTCAGTTCTGTCACAGTTTACGGTGCGGTCTCGGCACGAAATTCCGGTCATTGTACACTCTGGTCTAGTCAGTAACAATTTGTTTTTTGTTGAAGTAAACGCCTTTATGCGCGAAATGTGAAATGGCAAGCGACAATAACCCAAATTCGGTTCGGTTCTGCTAACATATATGGTTTTCACTCTTTTCTCTCTAAGGCGGATCGCATAATATTCGAATACTCTGAAATTATGTTTACTAAAGGTTATTCACGCATAATCTATTGTTTTATGACAACTTAAGGGTTTAATTTGAACTACTAACGATTATCTATTGATATAATTAATAAGTAAGCAGCAAGATTTATAGTTCAGCTGACTACACATGTTGTTGTTTCATGCAGACCGATTTCTGTTCTTTTCTTTTTATTCATTTTTTTTTTTAACATTCACACACAGTATTAATTAATTTTGATGCAAATTTTAGGTCTTTTTCTAAAAAAAATGAGTTTGATGAAAATGCAATCTTACATGCCACGTGTGTGTACATGAAACGCTAGTTACCAAATTCGCGCAAAAAGCAGCTTAGTCGGTGTTCGGTTTTGTAATTTTCAAGAAAACCCATTAGTCATGTTGGTTTATTTATCTTGTCTATCAAAATGCCTTTTATTTTTCCGTGTCGTTATCTCATGTTTGCTGTGTTCGGTACCCTCACGAAAAAAACACTTTTCTCAAACTGATATGTTATCTTTAGTCTGCCTCTGTATTAAGTAGTTCTTTGTTATCAATTCACAAGGCATTGGTTGATTTGTCATTAAGGGATGATAATTTCATCATTTAATTCATATACACAAATACATTTGCTTTATCATCACAGCCAGGCTCAGTTTTCCGCTGTCGCTGCGTCTGCGAAACTGAGTCTACAACTCTTCCTGCTTTAGAAAGCTTTGTCTTTATAGATTTTTTAAAACATATGCAGTCGCGGCATCTGTGCACAATTGTATTCCCGATAGAATCATTGAATTTAGGTGCTGTGCATACAATGATGATTAGGGAAGCTAACAAACTCGTACCCAATCTTTTCGCTTTGCTCGAAATGGTTGATGGGGATGAGAGGGAAAAATTAACCCGCACTTTTTTCATCCTTCCTCCCTTGGTTTCACTTTCCGAAAAAAAACAGCACATGAAGCTTCGATGGGGAACGGGTCTGAACGAGGGCCGGTTTAGTCTTATTTCTCTGGTAATTTTGCAGGACCTCCATCGCACTGGTTGTGCTTGGTTCTGTGGTGATGATACCCCTGAAGAGCGAGCAGCTCTAAAGAGAGTATTACTGGCATATGCGAGATGGAATAAGTCTGTAGGATATTGTCAAGGTTTTAATGTAGTCGCAGCGTTGATTTTACAAGTGATGGGGAGAAACGAAGAGGATTCACTTAAGGTAACCATTAAAGTTTTTACAACACTTGTGAGAATTCTTGCGCGTTGATTGGCTGATCAGATTGTGCAATTATAACAGGACATTCATTTTGTGCTGACACTAACACGTACCGCGTGTGCGCTTGGTAGTGAGATGAGAATGATCATCGTAACTTTTTCACATAAAAATTTATTATTGAACTCAGTGAGACCATAATTATTAAATACGGATTATATTGTGTCTACCCATGGTCCCCTTTGGTCTTGGGTGCACATGTAGGCTGTTTCACAATAATCTTACCTAGACAGTTTCATAAAATTGCTTCTACGCGATATTAGACGTTTTCAGCTGAAACGACTGCCTCTATTGCTCTTATTTTATCGATAAAGATGTTGTGTTGATTCCAATGATGACATAAAGATGAGACCCACATCTTTTTAGGTTATGATACTAAAATAAAGTTATCTTTTCAGGTTATGATCTACATCATCGATCACGTTCTCCCAACAAATTACTTCTCCAATAATCTTCGTGCTCTGTCTGTGGACATGGCGGTACTAAGGGACTTAATGCGACTCAAACTTCCTAAACTCTCCCGTCATCTTGACACATTACAGGCCCAGGCCATAGCACAACATGGTGGATCTTCAGGATATGAGCCTCCACTTATCAATGTATTTACAATGCAATGGTTTTTAACACTTTTCTCGACATGTTTACCTCAAGACACAGTATTGCGTGTTTGGGACTCGATCTTACTGGATGGCTCAGAAGTTCTTTTGAGAGTTGCGGTTGCTATTTGGGCTAAACTAGGAGAGTAAGTAAATCAACTAAAAAAGGGCATTTTCATCTTGCGCTCGTGTTGTTTACATACGTTAAAATGCGCAAGCGTACAATAGATTATAGATTTATAGTATCTGTGAGGTACTTATAGTTACAGGTATTTCTGTCCAAACTTAAAAAATGGTAAACGATTCGCACTCACTTTAAGAAATCCTACGAATCCGCCATTTTCGTGTCAACCTAAAATGTAAAACATTTCCTTTCCGCTTGGATTTTGATTTATGGTTTAAGCTGTACACATCTTTTGAGAATTGTTCTGTTACACCATGTATCTGTATTTTTTAGGCATCTGGAAGATGTTGAAACATCGGACGAGTTTTATGGTAAAATGGGTGTTCTTATACAAGAGATCGCACAGGGGGATTTGATCGACTGCCAAGCGCTCATGCAGGTATGTTTATCATCCCCGCTTACTATAACATCGTTCATGTTAAGAATTTATACCGATAAAGTGAAATGTGTAAATATGCGATTATGTGGTGGGCCTTCCAAAAAGATTACAGGAGCGCGCTCGAAAACGAAACATTTTGGCATCGGAATTAGGTCCAATTTATTTCGTTTTCATGCTCGCGTGTGCAACATTTTCCAAAAGGGAACCGCACCTCGTAAATCGTCTATTTCTTGCACTGGGAGGTGGTTCAATAACTAAAAAACGTTTTATAATTTTTTTCAGACCGTGTATTCAGTGGCACCATTCCCTCTTCCTGGTCTCGCGGAGCTACGTGAACAGTACACTTACGATATTCATCCATTTAGTGACAGAAAAAACTCGCGATCAAATCTGGGTAATGCGTCAAGTGATGAAGACGACGAAGACATTGATACAGATTCAGTTGGCTGTTTAGGAGTTCTTTTACCTTTTTCGGAATTCTCATCTCCTCCAGGAGGAAACTCCAAGACTTTACCAGAGAGTGAGTTTTCGGGTAGAAAAAGTAGTGACATTGCACAAGCAAGCCCTGGGGTTTTTGCAACTGACGTGTATAGCCCAGTATCGTATACTTCGCGTCAAACTGATCGTAAGTCGTCTACATCGTCATCGGCACCCGAGGAGGTTAGTAATTTACAGAGACAATACTCGAAAATCCGTCAGCTACAGCAGCAAGCAGTTGTAGTGTTTAGCGAGGCAACTGTGCAGAATATACAAGATGCAGACAAGAAAAGTTCAAGTAGTCCTTCAGCTATCAATCATTTATTTGTTTCGGCGACTAAACGTAGACCGGTTCGAGGGAAACCTTCGACAAATAGTGAAAGCGCTGAGAAAACCGACGAGAAGGTACAGCAAAATGCTTACGAGAAAGAAAGCACGGCTCACTTGAATACGCTGTTCAAAGGAAATCATAAACCTAACGATAGCCATCACACAACATCTACACCTAAATCGAACTCACCGCCTTCATTGGCAACTACAGCTAAACCAAAACTAGAACATGTTGGTCTAAACGGTGAAGTTTGTAAGCTTGAAGTCCCCGAAAATCATGCCAATGGACACAAGCCGGTTTCATTGCATAGTGCTAATGAGAATTCGTATGAGAAAAGATCTCTCGGTAATAATCCCTCCTCAAAAGTTGAAGTACTTAAGGAGAACAGCCCAGCTGTTTTCGTTTCCAATAACCGAACAGAGCCAAGAGGAAAATCAAATGTTTTTCAGTCTTCTTCCAGTAAGAAGTCTTTAGAAGGACCCAGTAAGGATTCTTCAAGTTCAATAGACAATCCTTTTATGAAATCGTGGATGTTACAGGAGGATCAACGGTGTAAATATCCAGCTAATTTTAATCCTTTTCCACAAAGAAGCAAAGCTACTCCAAGAAGTAGGATTTTGTATGGGAACATATCCGATAAAGGGGGAAAAAGAAAGGAGGCTTTTCAAGCGAGGAAAGCTCCTCGACCTACTAAAGGGAATTGTATAGGGGAAGAAGTTAAATTAAGCATAGGTAGTATGTACTAAGGTGTATTACGTTTGCAGTTGCAGAATATAAACACAAACCCTTCAAACAGAACAATTTTCCCAGGTAATGTGGTACCACACAATGACCACAAGGGGAAAAACTGCCTAGAATGCAATGAAGAAAAAAGATGTTCATTTGAACATTATAAATTCTATGCATTAAAGTTAATTAACAAACCTTTGACTGAAACCTCTTACCCTGGGAACCAGAGGCTAGATTTACTCGTTCTTGTAGTTTAAAGAAAAGATAAATCCAGCCTCTGGTTCCCAGGGTAGAAACCTCTCAGAAAGAAACAAGTTTTTTTCCTGGTATCATTTGATGGGTTATTGAGTTGCTAAGTTTCCTGGTAATTTGATTTGGCTCCAACAAATATTTTTTGTTGATTGGTCAATTTGACTTTGACGTATTGTTTTGTTTTGTTTATTTTTGTTTTTCATTCCATCATAATAGCCACGTTTTCAGAAGCCCCATTTTTTTTTCTTTTTCTTTTTGTCTGATCGGCCATTTTTATATTTATCAACCCTAAGTTTTTATTCAGTTTGTTATGTTGGTTTATAATTATTATTTTTTTTACACATTAGCAGTGGCTGTATAGGTCTAGTGTTTAAATTCTGCCATTATTTAAATAAGCGTTATTAGATATAGTTTATATTATATACAAAGACATGTACATTTTATAAGAAGTATCAATTATTGAAGTAAAATCATAGTTATTAAATTGATTTGACGTTATGTTATGTGTGTTGTTGATTTCTAAATACTTCAATGGTCCCCGCCCGTACTGTTTTTTTTTTAGTCAGTGCTGTCCCGTCATGTGGGACTGGATTTTCTTACGTTCCTTTCCTCCGCATGAAGCTGTTTTGATTTCATATGGAAGGGTCTATGCAAGACAGGAATTATTGTTATTATTATTATTATTATTATTATTAAGTAAATAAGCAGCTACAACTATTACATACAAAAAGACATTAAATTACACTACACTGCAGTGCTCTGAATAACGAAAATTACGAATATCATTTCTTTAGAACCATCCTCCGCCGCCTATTTTATACGCGTACAACTTTGCTTGCATATTAGAACATAATATCCTATAATTCAATACCATTGTATACATTAAGAATATTAGTTCAAAAAAGGACAGAAAAAATAACACTGTACAAAAGAACAGCAAAAAACGAAGCAAAAAACTACACGTGCCTACACACAAAAAAGGGCGTTGGGGGTAATTACAACTTAATAAATAAACAAAAGATAAGCGAAAGAGATCAATTTTCCCCTGATACGTTTACCTTAGGAAATTTACAACTAAATCATCATGGTAAGTTATTTTAAACGTTTCTAACCATAATTTACATATGTAATGAAACTATTAACTTTGGGACATTCTGTAAAAAGGTGTTTGATAGTCTTCTCATTGTTGAGACAAAAACTACATAAACATGATAAAGGGGATTCAACGATTCTAAAACAAAAAAGTTTAAGAATCGTTGAATCAGGAATTATTTTAAAGACCGCGCAATGGGGCATTACCTTAATGATGTTATACTATATCTAACCAGAATGCATCATTCGTTTTATACTTATTTGAATTGTGATTACCTTTGGAGATAAATGAGAAGCTCATTTTTTCATTCATTTCTTTATAGCTAGCGGGCGATAACCTTACCGAGCGAAACTAGCAACTACTAGGTAGTTGTATTTGCAATTACTAGGTATAGTTGTATTTACATCGCGTTACGACATGCAACTTGAAATTACTCCCGTTTTTATCCAACCATGGAAAAATCCTTTGCATTATTGCATCACCAAGGGCGGGCTATAGTCAGCATATAACAAAGTAACTACTATAATATTTTGAATCTGCAAAGCCCTAACGACCTTTATTAAAGCTAGAAAGGTTAGGAAGGGCTAGGGTTTGAATTCCAGCAGGTACGTTTTTTAGAATTTGGGATAAATAAATAAAACAAGTACTTTAATAATAACTATACATAATAACTATAATCATAGTAATAAAGAGAAAGCTCTTCACATAGGAAAGAAGCGGACTCAAACAAAATGTAAATAGCCGAATGATGAGACAAACACAAGTTGGATATAAAGCTTCTCTGGTTGTTGATTTTTAATACAATCAAATTCTTAAGAGATTACTTTGAAATATGCTTTTTAATATTACAGGTAACACGATTGCATAATAGGAGGACATTGTCAAGTAGAACAATTAAGGATACCCGAAAGATCACATTGACTCACTGCATTTGATAATTGCATGACCATAGTTGTTTTAAGGGCAGAATTAGAGAAAGATGCCTTGGAATATATCACTGAATGCATCGCCATCGTCTTCAACCTGTGGACTAAGAATACAGAAACAACACTGAACGGGTATTGTAAGGATAGTAGAGACTGATATTTCATGCTGGGCATTCTAGAACGTGAAATTCTAGGGAATGTAGTTCCAAGTGGCGGATAATACAGTAAAAAACAAAAATATTTGTTTTCTGCGTCAGACGAAGCTACTTTTGACGTCATGCGCAAGGGTGATCACGCAGAAGTATTATGACTATATCTGAAATTTCACGAAACTTGTCGCAACCGGAATCTGTAATATCCGATGAAAATGTTAAAAATGACCTTGTCTGGCTAGATAATCGGGTAATCCGCTCGATTCTAATAGGTCAGTATTACAACTATCTAGAACATGAGTTGGCTATATTACCTTTTATTTGCTAGTGGAGAAAAGAAGTCTGGTACACTCATTCGTCTGCGAAAAGAACACAATTATAATAATCAGAATAAATATAATAGATTTAAACTGATACTGATGTGACGACCGCACATGGTGCGGCAACGGCACCCCGGGAAGAATACTAAACAGCACAATTTTGATCAGGTTTCCTTGAGTAGAAAACCATCGATAATATATACTTATGCCGTAAAGCTACTGATTTCTCTACAAAAAGCAAATAAATCAAAGAGATCCTCCACATCCTGGAATAGTGCTAGCAATGTTTGTTTTATACATACGCATGACTGAGTTCTTATTCGCAGCATTATAATCAAGGGTTTAGGAAATATATACACATTGAGGCAAGTCAGCAAATTAAGGGGCGATCCATTAGACTTTTGAGGGGGGAGGGATCGAAGATTTAGTTGGTGCAATAATTTTTTTGTGGGGGGGGGGGGGGGGGACTTCGGCGCACGTTTGCATTTTTTTTTTTTAATTCACAAAACCTTTAGTGGAGACTTTTCAAAATTTTGCCTTGTAGGATTTTTTTTTGGCTCTTTGGGCAGTGATGGAAAATGACAAAATCTTCCACCTCCCCAAAAAAGTCTAATGGATCGCCCCTTATACGAATATACAATGAGGTCTCTACAACTTATCAACAGACTAGAGTTATAATGCTTGCGTTTACCCCTTGTAGTTGCTTTGACTTTGATCAATTGTTTGACACGGGTTATTTCGGCTCTCTTCGATTAGTATTTTATGATCAGGCTCAGACTGATCTGCAAGATCAATCTTTGGCTGTAGTACAGTCCTGTACTCTTTCAATCCTTTAGCTCCGGATAATAGTCGAGACTGTTTTAGCTGCTGAGGCTTTGATAAGTGATCATTTGTGAGTCGTGAAGATTGGGCATTCTTATTATACGGGTGTGGTCTGTATACTTCATCTGGTAGAGCACTATAGTATTGTCCACCATCATCTGTCCATATGTCATCATCTAAGTATTCTAAATACGCATCTTCTGCACTATCCTCAATAACTATTGGGTGTGTTTCCTCAGCCCTATGACTTTGGCAATGGTATAATACATTATAAGTTATTATAGCTAAAACAAATACCATGCATATGATTAAAAATTGTCCCAGTGAAGTAGTATAGAGTGCTCTTTTTACTCCTTTTGTTTATGTCGGGAAGCCTTTCTCTAGCACCGTCCAGAGACACAAGCCAACCTACCAACTCCGGTTACTACTAGGACTGCATAAACAAATGAAGCAAAACTGCAAGCTAAGGAACCAACAAAAACAGCAACTTAACTACCAAGTACTTTCTAATCCAGGCAATCAGGCAAATAAAGTAACAAGTTCAACAAATAAGTCAATAATCGAATTACGTCTACTGTACGCAGGCCCTTAAAGCTACAATGGATGAGAAGATTTTCCCTATAGAATTTTCCCTACAGGATGTTACCTTATCAATATCTTTAATTAAATTAATAAGTATTTTTCTATAAGCATGTATACCTTTGCATTCTGCGACTTCTGATTGGGGACTTGGTACCACAAGATAATTTTCGAGGAATGTCAGTTTGTACATCCAATCTGCCATCCTCCTTTGATGCATTTTGTGTATTCTTCACACATTTATTGCCTTCAAGATATTTCTTGCTACCAGATGCTCGAGGTAATTGAGGATGTGCTACATATTCTACATTTCTGTCTCCTCTAATTCCACCATTCTCGTCGTCAGGAAGTAGACTTCTTTGGTTACTGTGGTTTGTGAGTGTTGTAATCTGGGCTTGTGAAATCGTCTGTTTGTTTTTCCCTATGCAAATGAAAACAATATGCCGGTATTTGATATAAAGTGTGCACTCAAGTACCGAAATGCGTTGTTGCTTGTGATTTGGAGTGTGCGTTAGCTGCATGCAAAAAAACATTCTGTATTCCATGATAAGTTAAGAGCACATAGAGGCAACAATGACTAACAACTCAAAATGATATTAATATTTCAGTGTAGCATTTGATTTTAGTCTGAAAAAGAAACGAGTTGAAAATTGAAATATGTTCCGTGAATCTTACCGTTGTTAAAGATGCTACCTGTAGATCGATTCTGAAAAGAGGACGTTTGTAAGTCACACTTATCAGACATGCCGATGTCATACAAAGATTGTAGGTCGTCGATTTCATCATCAGTCTCGAAATCATCGGTGAAGAAGTCTTCGCCACCTGATACACGACAAATTTGAAGTGAACACAATAAAGTTGAATCAGAAATTAGGCGTAAATGTTAAGTATATAATAAATACGAAGCCCTTCATCATTCCCGACCATAACATGCACTCGCCAAGAATAGTCTTAACTATAATTATCAGGTATAGCAATATATTCTTTGTATTTATTTAACTTAAATGTAAATAAAGTATTGATGTTGTTACATGCGGTTGGTAAAAGAAATCCTACCTTGAAAGCAGTCGTCAGATTCTTCATCAACAATGTGAAGTTGCCGTGTTTGATGCAAATCGATTTCATCCCACTCTTGTCTTGGCTTCTTATTCGGTGTCTCCATTACAACTTTAGGATTATTTTCTATGCTTGTGCTCTTCCATTGCAACGAAGGCTTGCTTACGTACGAGTACCCTTGTAAGGACGATGAGAAATTCTCAACAGGATTGGTACTTACTGGAGTTGTACTTATCGGTACCTGGCAAGTTAAGGGATCAAAGGAAAAGTAAAAAAACTAATAAGATAAACTAGACGTGGAATAGCTGCACAGAAAAAATAAATATACGCTTTTTATTGACGCGTTAATGTGTGTATACCTATTTGCCCATTGGCTTAGTAAAAGAAAAATGCGTCAATGATACTAAAAAGACCAATATTGCAAGAAAATACACTCCTGTCGATCAGGAAAGGCACATTTGCCAATTTAAGTCCCAGAAGTGTCCGATGCATTTTGGTTCTTCCATATTTAAAGATTCAGTGCAATTACTCAGATCACAGTCGATATTTTCAGATGTTAACACAAATTTCGAAGGTATAGTAATCACCTTTAGTCTTTTTTGTGCTGGTGTTTTAGGAATTGCAAACGTCCTCTCATGCAAGTGATTTAGAAAGCCTCCCATGTTGTCACTTATTCTTCCATGTTGTCTTCCTATGATCAGAATGCAAATTGTGTTTTATCTAACTAAAAGGATACATAAGCCGATCGAATAGAAAATGTGCAGCGACGCCATTTTGTATAGCAGAGCATGACGATAGTTATAGTTACTTAAAAATAACCCTAAAAGACGTTTTCATGGTTGCTTCGTAAAAGCAGTACGACGTCTTGCATTTTTTTTAAAAGACAAATAAATAATAATAATAATACAAAACCACTTATTGGACATGGCACAAATGCGAGGATTTTTATATGACTTTTGCATGAAACGGTCACATGGTACTAAATCCGCCATTCTGGAGGGCAACATATATTTCCACTGGGATGTCCAAAACAAAGAAAAGTCAAGCTTGATATGGACTACGTTCCTTTTGTTTTTGAGGCTGTTTACATTCTTTTGCCCTAAATGATGGCCGATTTAGTGCCATGTGAACATGTGGCATCGCAGTACATTGCCTATTGCCCAAGACGGTTATGAAGACGTAAACAGACGATCGGTCGTGTTTAGTGCTGATTGAAATAAAGTTGCCAGGACTTACCATTATTCCGCTGTGTAACATTAGATGTATTCCTATCCGTGGATCGTTCAGCTGAACGATTCTAGAAAAAAAAGTTAAACAAAGGCCATTGAATTTTTTTTTAACAACATTGGAATTATTGACTCATCATGATCGAAAGCCTGGGGATGGATTTTCCTCTAGCAAGGAACCAGCGACGCAGTATTTGTAAGAAGCTAGGTTTACGATGACACGCGCTGCTTTGTTCCTGAAAACTGAAAATAATACCTCCTCACGTTTCCTCTTTGTAAGTGTAGTTGCTCCAACTCCAAACTTACAGCATTCGTGACCGCATTTACGATTGGTTAAAGATACTTGTAAGTTTTTATTTGTTTTATTTTCTTTTTACAACAGGGGTTAGTTGTACAAATAAAATCGCTCGCTCCAAACAATTGTATGCCATGGGATTTATCAACTGGGGAAAAATATGAATTCCCTGTTGAATATCGATCGTTAACCACCCTTCTTACAATACACCTTAATCCAAAATGGCTGACTAGCCCTTGATGTCTCGTTTTCATGAAATTGTTCTTTTCTTTTAAAGTCACTCAAGCTCAAAGACAAAAGAATAATTTTATGAAAACGAGGCATCAAGGGCTAGTCAGCCATTTTGGAATAAGGTGTATAGTCCCCAGTAAATAAATTCGGCTTCATTTTCAAGTTACGTCACAGCGACCATCATGGAGGAACTTCAACTAGGATTTCTCATTGGTATCTTTAGCTCATTATTTCAACATGGCCGCTGCGATCTTTTTTTTCGTTTGTTTGTTTGTTTTTTGGAGCCTCGTGGGAATGACTGGAAACGATCAACAATTTAATTATGTTCAGTTTCTTTTGAAAAGACAATAGCACCTTGTTCTGTTGCCTTTTAACTTTTAGTTATAATCCAGAACATTCTATTTACTTAAATGTACTTTGGAATAGAGAACCTATTTTATTTTGAAATCTGCTCAAAATATTTAAAATGAACAGAATTCAGCTTGACAAGTGTAACAAGCAGTTGTTGAGCTCGGTTCTGCGACCTTACCTAAATTCTATCCTAATTATAACAACCTGTTCATATGAGGCCTACTTGGTAGGCTAACCTTTTGTTTTGAGAAACGAAAGCACAAGATATAACCCTGCTACCTAGAGGCACTCATGTGATCAGAGCAATAAGATACAAATGAAAGGATATATGTCTTTGTTGATGCATCGATGATTACAGGCTTGACTGGTTAGGGTTGTTATGGACGGCTTTGCTTGGTTCGCTAATAAAATTTATTTGTGAATGCATTTGCAGCTATTTAATAATAAAAAGTCATTTAAGTTGTTGTCTTTGTTGATCGTTTGCTTTGTCGATTTTCGTTTTGTTGTTGTAGTATGTTTTTTTTGGCTATTTTTTTTTGTATGTTTTTTGTCAGTTTTTATTTTAACTTCTTATTTGTTTGATGGGTGGTTTGGCTTTGCTATTTTGCTCCTGTAGGTACTTAACAGGATCTACTAGGTACGGGCTTGGCATTCCGTCACACCATCAAAGAATAGTAAGGCTCAAGTTACAGTACAGGATTTCACACCCACAAAGCTATCAATTATTGCAAATAGAGATTGTCATTTTCTTGACACGGTCGGCGTAGATCACCATATCAGTTAAATGAAAATGTACTTACCTGCAGTAGCATTAGTTGTAATAGGACTGCTTGACACTTCAGACTTAAAGTACGCTCCACTATAGTACGGTGTAAAGGTGGTTGAAACATCAAGGCCAACTGAAAATTCCATCAATTAATACAACAGTAATAGATACCTTGCACAATCAGCCATATATACTTTGCTGGGTGTTTCTTTTATGTGTTCAAACTCCATTGTATTCCCGATGCTTCTTTAAAAGAGATCCTCACTACTATCCAACACATCAAATAGACGACTTGCGAATTTTGCCTCAGTAGACGCACACAAATCAAGACGAGGCGCCGTGCGTAAAGCTCAGTGAATCGTGAAAACTATTTTCTTTTCACGAATGACTGACAAGCTTTATGCATGGCGCCTCGTCTTGATTCTTTTGTGTTTGACTACTAGGGCTATTCGCAAGTCGGCTATTAATTTTAACAATTATGTGACAGTACGCTCCCAAAAAAATCGTGAAATGAGGTACGCAAGATGCGTAAGTTATGGATAAGCCTTGCAATAACTTGACTGATCTGTCTCATAGACGCATGGGCATAAGCAATATTTCCGCGATGATGGCGATGAAAGTGATAGATATAATTGTAACTACATCATTATCACTAATGCTCATTCTTACCGTACTCTTGACTAACTAAATTGATATCTAGCTCGGGAGACGTACTAGCGCGTCGAACATCAACCGTCTTACTCCACACACCATCCTTGGAAAATACAGCATCGCTATATATTCGCAGAAAATAAGAAATAAAATGCAATGTCATTTGAAATAGCCTTCATTTTAATGTTTTAGTATTGAAAAATATTTCCTACCAGACTGAGAAACAATTTTTCCGCATTATTCTTTAGAATATCCTTATATCCACTTTCCAGCGAAAAGCAAATTTTGCCGGTAAGCCTTGTCTTTGTCCTCTGATATAAGCACGGTCATCAGCCAATCAGAATGCGCGTTATATATATCAAATTTTATAACTAACTATATATTAGCGTGCAATAGCCTTTACTCATATTTATAGTTTTCAAATAAGTATTGGAGGTTTTATGTGTCGGTTTACCAGCTTACCCAAGTCTCTGTCTGTAAACTACTTTGTTATCTGCGTCACCGATAAGTAATATGCAAAAATGCTGCGTACGTCGTGGAGTCGGAGCCGGCTGACGTTTGATCCAGTTTGTCATTGTAACGGTTACACTTATCTCGGAAGCTTTAGCTGTGTAGCGTCCTTTCTGTAATATATATAGTATTTTCACATAACGGTTGGGAACGAATTTCATCACTTAATGTCATGCAATAACAACAAAATGGTTATAATAAGAAAACCTTCCTTTGAGAGCCTGTATAACATAAAGCCAACTCCGAAAAGTATTTATATTTGTGCTTGCGCATTCAACAAACCTGTTCCACAGATACTTCAAACTTGGGAAGTGATAAAACTGCTTCACGTATCTGTATAGGTGAGAAATTATATTAATATGTGGACCTTACTTTCAATCCAGGAATCCCAGCCTGACCTTGTTGCTCAGTTGGTAGAATCCATGCATTCATCCCGATTCATTTCATTCAAAAATTGAATACAGTGTGGTAAAGGTACATACCTGGCTTCCGAATGGTGGGTGTCGATTGACAATCTAAAAAAAAAAAGCAAATGAAACAAATACTAATTTCAAGTAAATGATTTTTATATAAAGCCGAATAATTATTCTCTTTGCGCTTTGCGAGGGTGGCTATTTATTGTGAATTTCTCCCTTATTTTTTTCGGTTGATTTTAGTTTTTATTCGAGTAGATATATTAAGAAAACCTTTTCACTGTCCAGGAATACAAGTGATTGTGACTGATTTGGTGCATGGTCCCTTTCTCCTTGTGGCAATTAAATATTAAAATGTTAAGTTCGGTATTTAGAAAAATATTAATATTTGCTACCATATTATACCAATGATTCTTGCGCCGCAATGCGACGTCATATCTAATAGATATATTGTCCTCATACCAGCTCTATCTCACGAGGGTTGGTCTCTTCAATCTTCTTAAAGGAGGTCAGACCTGCATTCACCATCATAGTTGACAGCGTTGTTCCTTTTCAAAAATATCATAGAATGATTTAAGAAATGTCTATAAGTATAACTGACCGCTCACTAGCCGTGTCCTTATTCGTTTGCAAAGGTATTACAGTTAGAAACGAGGCTGATACATTTGATTTAAGTTTATACCCAGGGCTCCCATTAGTAGTTAGCGCTTGGGTCCTGACGGTGTTACTCTGAGTTTTTGAATTTATGTTTAAATAAAGGACTTACGACTCTTATATATGACAAAGGTTTTCCTGTTACTGTTCGCATTATGAATGATAGCTTATCTAGTGTATACGTACCAACTTTATCTATCTGCTTTGAAACGTGTTTAGAGTTTTCCCAAAGTCTGCAGCAAACAAACAAACAAACTCAGTCAACGTGGTTATCATAGCCACATAGTATATGGTACAGTTAGAGTATTAGCAAATCACAGGTTTCTATTGGTGATAACTTTATCCAACCTAGCTTTGTACAGCTTTCGCAGGCTTAACAGTATATGAAAAGGTAAACTCCCTGAGCATAACAGTGAATAATGAAAGAAATTATGGTATTTCACTAGATTCCATACACAGATTCAGTTGGAATGAACAAAGAATTTTTAAAAAGCTCTCAGCTCTCAACCGTTCCCTGACTGACATCTTGAGGGTGCAATGATAAATAATTGCGAATGATTGTCTGTAAGGTGTGAAAGAAAGTTTCTCATTTCGATGCAAAGGCACGGCTACCTTTCAAGATGTTGCATGCAACCGTGAATGTTTTGTTCGTGGTCCACTATGTATGGAAAGTCGTGCATAATGTTACCTTGATTTCATGCATTTTGCGATAAGAATTGCATTTAGAAGTGCCTTGTAATCGTTTCTTAGCATCGACATCTCAACCAAACCTAAGAGAAATAACAATGCAGGTCTACACATTTCGCTAGAACTATCACCATGCCATTAATAAATTGTTCTTTAGCCAAACTCGTGTCTCACACAAAGATTGGGGAAAAAGGTTAAAAGGAGACGTCCCAAAGTGATCCTTTGCGCGCTTATGTTATTATTTAGACTTTGTTTACATATGTCAGAACTCTCCATCATTCCAGAATAAAGGTTCGTACTCCTGGTTCATAAGTTTTAATCGAACATCATGTTCGAAACAAAACATGTCCTCTTCCCGCGTTCACTCCACGCGTTCACTCCCTCTCTCGCAAAAAGTATCTTAAAATGTCTCACAACATTCGGCATTTGTCAAACGAATAATAGCAAAGTATCTTTAATATTTTTAAAAATTCTTACTAGAACTCGATTTAAATTGCCTGTTTATGGCCAAAACTACAGATTGCGAACGCATATGGGACGGTCATTGGTAGCTAATTAGGCTATGAATTAGATGTTTCATTAGAGTCAAGAACGGACGCCGAACAGGATGAAGTAGAGACCGTTCAAGCTCGTCAAAGGAGGAGTGCAATATTAGTTACCTAATAACTGAATTATTAATGAGTATTCTTCTTCTCTTTGGTAGCTTCATTATAGTTTTGCTCTCGCAAAAATTCATGTAGCAGAACGAAAACCGCCTCGCAGGCTGTCCGTGAAGCAAACTGTTCCACAAATTCACTATTATTTAACTGTGAAAGGCCCATTCTGTCCTTTTTTTCCGTCAAAGCTTCGTATATCTAGGCCTTTTGAACGTGATATGCCTCATGATCAGCTACTTCTTCTTTCCGGCGTGGACGACCGCAAGAAGATTTCGTTACGCTGATTTGGAGCCATTTCGGCAAACTAAGGCTACGTTCACACGGGGCTGGTTCCGTTCGGAACCGTTTTAGTTTAGGCGCGCGTTCGCACTGGAACTGGCCTCATCTGAGGGTGGCAAAGTGTTGAGGTTTGGGGTCGGCTAAAAAGCCGTTCCACATTGAGGACAGGTCACTTCGAAGCATGAACGGATCCGTGTGAATACTGCTTCAATCCGTACCAAAATGTGGACGGTTCCGTGTGAACAGTTGCGGAACTGTCCTCAAACTTGACCGGCCCCGTGTGAACGTAGTCTAAAATAACACGTTTAAAAAGAGACTCAATATGTCGTAATAATTCAAGAAAATGACTATATGTTAAATAAAGAACTAATATATATCGAATTTATGAGGAAAAAACTAGAGATTTTAGAGATTTTAGACGGATTGTGTAAGCTAGTACTACGAATAATTTCGACGTCGTTGAAAATGGCGCTGATCAAGGTCTTAGCTGTAATTCGAGGCGCGCAAAGGATCACCCTGGGACGGCTACTTTAATGCGACAAAACGTGACAATAACGTTGCCGAGATGTCGTGGATAGCGATCACCCCCACTTGGTGATTACCCATTGGAGTTGGGAGGAACTGCAGTGGAATCCCAGTGTCCCTAACCATTTAGGAAAGGAAGGTCAGCTTTCGCGAAATCACGGGGAGCCGACGCGGTTTCCACAGAATCGGTCGAGAATCGAAATTGCTTTATCCTTGCACGTTAGCAGTGCCCAGCAAATACTAGTCTTCTATAAGTAGATATTTGGACTTATTATATCATTTAATAGATTTTCATTTACGGAGCTTATTGCCTACGTTTTAATTAGCCCTTACTTACAGCGTGTAACTCGTTGACCTGAACGAAATATTTTCTGTGGAAAAATACAAAATGTATGAACATGTTGATAACTTAGTTTATCCTATTACATTGATTTAGTTTATCCTATTATATTGATTTCATCCAATCCCTGAGGTCGACATGCAAGGTGGAGACTATCGCAGCCTCCCCTTTTGTCGGGCTTCCGTTCCCTCCAAAAAGAAGAAGCAGCTTACCGTTACATCCTGATTTAAGGAAAAGTCCGTTATCGCAAGGCATCCCAAGGTTCCTTGAATTAGACTGGAAGTGATAAATAATGATCATAAACACACCACCTCTACCCTTGTCGTCCCCCTCGAATTAATAGAAAGATCGGGGAAACATCATAATGATGGTGCAATAGCTGAGGATTCATGGTTAAAAATAAGAAAGATATATGAAAAATCAACTCAACTTGTTGCGTAACGTTAAGCCTTTAGGCACGACGCTTAGGAGCGACAATGTTGAGTGGTTTTGTGTCCTGACATTTTTCTCCATTAACAAAATACATCAGATGAAAACAAAGGGTCTCCCTATTGCCGCAAAATTAGTGAAACTACAGCATAGCTGTGAATGCACCACTGAACGCGGTCCTCAATTCAAGCCAACTAAAATATAATTATTATTAATAAATAACACAAACTATGAAAAAAAATAGCCTTCAATTCTTAGCATATATAATTGACAATCCTTTTTTGTACGTACCAGCTTACTTTTTGATCAGTACTTTTAATTTTCCCATTCACTGGAAACCTGCAATAAAGAGAAAATATTTATACTCTAGAATAGGTAAATAGTCATCAGTCTGTTGTTTAAGACTACTGCGCGGAAGCGGTACCTCGCTTGAATGGAACCTAATCATACGTTCTGAAACCATAGTATACGTGTTTTGTATTTGTGTCAGTATACAAATTTATTAAAATTACCCAAGCACTTTTACAAGAGTGCATAATCAAACCATATATTAACTATGATCAATCACGCAAATATCTCATCTACAAAAGTTATTTTATCATTTGGATTTTTTGAGGGTTTGGGCCTCCTGTGTCTTATATTGTTGACCTTCGATATTGACACTAGACATTACTAATATTCGTTGGCTTGATCGTCTCAATTTGCAGTCAAACACATTACGTGCATTTCTAATATCTATGCCATCTTCGTGCAAAATTATCGGTGTAGCTGAACCCGGGAAAATGGCTGTATTCGCAGTACGATATATCTTACAATGATCACTGAACTAAATGAAAGAATACTTCCTTAAGGTTAACTAAGTGTTCCACAAGTCTAAAAGATGAAACAAGATAGTGGATGGGGATGGCTTATTTGTTTTGGTGGTTTTATCAATACTTTTCTAGCTGCTGCTTTTTATAWCTGTGGCGGTGTTGTGTTATCGGCGCTTGTGGACACCTACCACATCTCAAGAAGCGAAGCAGGTAATGTCTACGTATAGAAAAGAATATCAGTATTGGTAGTAAACTCAATATTTTCGATAAAGACTATGTGGATCGCGGTATTGTAACGTGTTGTGTGATTTTCACTGCGGTAAATTCCAAAATACGGTATATACACCTGATTGCAGAAACGTTGTCATATAGAAAATAGAACACTCGAATTTAGTAAATAGGAATAAATTAAAACAAGACAAAAGAAAGCGTTCAGCCTCAGTGATCTTCTGTTTCTTTTTAAATTATTTCTTTTTATTAAAATACAAATGTCCTATTTTTTTATGACAACGTTTTCGCAAGTAGGTTATTGCTGGTAAGTACATGCTTTTTTTAAAGAGGTTGACCACTGTTTTAGTATACAACAGACTCTTTTCATTGCGTGAAGACTTTTCCAAAACAAAAGTCGCAATACCATATAAGACTAATTTTCATCGATTTGACGCTAGCGAAGCCTGTATCCACAAAAGACTGAAATTTAAACCTGATTAGAAATTTATCCTCGAGTCGCGGAAAAACGCAAATTTCTTGACTTTGGCTATTGTACAAAGAACGTGCTTTTTTGTTTGGTTTTAGCGAGTTCTTTGTGCAAGTCGTCAAATACAAAAAGGAGTCACTCTCTCTGAACTTGCAAAGGTATATTACGGCATTGGAATAATATTATATATAGTGGATATTCCATCATTAAGGTCTCGAAAGAACATTCAATTGTCACTTTCGTCACAGAAAAATAGCGTGGTCGGCCTGCTGTTGGTTTTGAATGTATAAATTTTTATGTACGTATTCATTAATTTTTCTGGTTCACTTGGCTCGATTTTAAAATTGTCTATTATTATTTATTTACAATTGTGTTCCGAGACATCAATTGTGTTCCGAGGCCATCCTGATATATTTTTCGGTTTCCCGTCGCTAATTTTTCAAAAATTAAAAGCATTGGCGTTCGCTCGTTTCAATGTCAATATTGACACATGCTAATTGCGTGACCATTGGACAATGGTTGTTGACAACGGAACCAACGCTTTTCACAAAATAAAGTGTAGTATAACTAAGTTATAATTTCCAAACAATTTGCAACTGAAGCCCAACTCCTTTCGTTCGTCCAATCGCCCTTTGAACCTTTCTTGAAATATATGGAACTCGATGCCAGAGTGGAGTGAATTCTTACAGGTGTTTGTAGCATTAGTCGGTCCAAGGGCGCTAGAACTGAAATTATGACCTATAAGATCCAAAAATTGCTTAATTTATCCAACATAAGATAGTCGATAATAAATAGTAAGTTTTACTTATCTGAAATATACACTGAAATGTCGTCTTAGACACTAAAAAGCACTTGATTTTACGAAATTCATCCAAATGATCGTTACTCAAGCGGTTGTTGCTGAATTTATTACCGCTGTCCTTGTTGTACCAGCCACTGCTGTCTCGCCAGGAACGTTATTAATTAACCGGATTAAAATCACTTTGCCCTGGCCTGTCTCTTTTGGTGTTCGGCCAGGGCAAAGTGATTTTAATCCGGTTAATTAATAACGTTCCTGGCGAGACAGCAGTGGCTGGTACAACAAGGACAGCGGTAATAAATTCAGCAACAACCGCTTGAGTAACGATCATTTGGATGAATTTCGTAAAATCAAGTGCTTTTTAGTGTCTAAGACGACATTTCAGTGTATATTTCAGATAAGTAAAACTTTATAATTTATTATCGACTAACTTATGTTGGATAAATTAAGCAATTTTTGGATCTTATAGGTCATAATTTCAGTTCTAGCGCCCTTGGTTTGATTTTATCAGTTCAGTTGTAAGTATATTTATAAAACTTGTTTTTAATTTTAATTATTAAAATAATGCATGAGCTATTACTACAATAAAGGCTGCCCATTTAATCAGGTGATTGACCTTGTAAATCTGATACAACACTGTGATGCAACACTAGTGTTGTATAAGATTTACAACACGGTCGTCACCTCGAGAGAACCCAACACTAGCAAAGGTCTCAGTTTTAGTATCGCATCATAGACCTTCACTAGGTTTTGAAGCAATCACAGACAGATAACAGAACTCGCTTATCCAACACAGATGGCTTGCTTTCCATGTGGGATGGATAATTGTTCAAAATGTTCTGTGTTGCAGTTGAATTGCGCATGCTTAATAGCGACTAAACTCAGCAGGTACCTTAATTGTAATTTTTCGTCATTTATCTCACTGTAATCCATATTAATTTGTGTTGGAGTTTTATAAGTCGTTTACAACATTCGCGTCCGTGTTGTAAACTATACTTCTAGATAGTGCGTATGTAAATTTTCATACGAATTCAACGCTTTGGTGGCGAAATACAAAAGCCTTAGTTTGTGTGCAGGAGTTAAATGGTCAGCCCTTATTGGAGCAATAGCTTATGCATTATTAATAAGTTTTATAATCGCTTAAATCTTCATCAGAGAGTAAGCTACTGGACTCGAAGCTCGTATTCTAGATAACTTGACTATGCTCTTTGTGACTTTCTACTTGGTTTTTGAAAATAACGACTAATAAATTTTCACTTCGGGGTTTGAAACCCAAGAATACGCGCATCTATATGTAATATCCTGTCTTATCAATTTTCAAAAATAGCTAGTCCGACTTCACGCTCCAAGAGCGTCTAGTATATTTTTTCCTTCTAGTTCTGCTTTCACCTCTGAATTTATTGGTGGATCTGGAATTTTCCCTAATGGAACTATTTCACATAAAGCCGCGTTTATAACATGCAAGAAAAAAAAATCGAATATCTGTACAAATTAATTGTCACAATTATAATTTCGAGGTTTGCGTATTTTTGGCACAAAGTTGTGTTACTATTAGACTTCTCAACATTATTTAAAGCAATCACTGATTTTAAATTTGAATCAATCAAATTATTAGCCATCGTTGTTTTTTATTTATACAAACAGATGCAACGGCAATGTCGTCATGCGCTTTATTCTCGAAAATTTAAAACAAAAATATTCTCTATAACCCTTACCTTAAATTAACGTAACTAACAGTCAAACTGCCCGCATCATGCAAATGCCTGGCGGGTACATTTTAGGTGGCTACTAAAATTTGCATATTGAACACTTGAAAAACTCATTTGCATGTTAAAAGTTAGAGATTTTAAAGACTTGGTCTTCCTTTTAAAGCTCATGCTTCCTTTTTAATGCACTAGTCACTCCTCGTCCCCCGGGAAATACCGGGGAATTTAATGTTTGAGTGGTGTCAATATAAGACATTTCCCCCGGTATTCGGGGGCACATTCGGAATATTCAAAGCTCATTAAAAATTCGAAAACCAACGTTATGACCATATTTGGAAAATTCCGCCGTTGGATAAGAGATTTAGGTCTCGTTCTGGTTGGCTAGGGTATATTGAATTGATCCAAATTAGGAAATGAGATGCAAATTAGATTTGAATATTCCAACGCATGGCACGGCGCTACACGTTTCAAAACCCTTTATAGGTTTCTGATACTAGTCAGTATCCTTTCCTGCGCAAATGCAGATTCCTTTCCATACCTGGAACCCACACTCTGACCAACGCGAAGCCGTCAGAGTTCTTAACAATTTTCTCTCCTTTTCAGCGTCAATAACTACACTTCCTGCATCCTGCGTCTACCTATTTGCACCACTGAGCACCTTCATCTGTAACCAGTACGGCGCGCACACAGCTATCTTCCTTGGAGCTGTCATATCTGCTTTAGGAGCGATTACATCATCCTTTGCCACAAATGTCACACCACTATACTTTTCCTACGGTGTTTGCGGAGGAATTGGAAGTAGCTTGCTTACCTTTCCAAATTTAATTATGGTATCCAAATACTTCAAAAGGAAGATTTCAATAGCAAATGGCCTAACATTATCCGGGTCTTCAGTGGGTACATTCATCTTATCGCCCGTGATTCAACAGCTCTTTAGTGAACTGGGACTGAATAATGGCTTTCGAGTTATGGCTTCCTTTTATCTTATTATATTCATACCAATCCTGCTTTTTCGCCATTTTAACACACACGAAGAAGGTGTGGAGGTGGAGAAACCAAAATGGCTTAGTACTCATGTGTTTAGGAATTGTAACTACATCGTCTTTTTGTCCGCTATGTTTCTTTATCAGCTTGAACACATGGTTCCTTACATTCATTTGGTGAGTCATAGATAATAATGAAACAGTAAGATCGTCAAAAGATTACCAAACATATAAATAATCACCGAAAAATAGTAAAAGCCGACGGGTTCCTGGTAGAAATGTATATGTTCTTATGTCCCAGCCAGTTGTAAGTCACAACTGGTTGCAAACGAGAAATCCAGGAAAAAAGATCTTCCAGGCAAGGAATACTTTCTAAGAATTTTTGCCAGGAAAAAAAAATCCAACTAAAAAAATATAAGTCGTTTTGATCATAAAAAACATTATATGAGCCTTTTTGACCTTAAAAACGTTTGTCAGTAACGAAATTATGTTAAAGAAGAAAGGGCGCTACATCAGATTTGCTTGTGAGATTGGCAACAATGTAGTCCAAAACACAGGCGTCCCAGGCTGGTATCTTGTGGCTTATTAATGGCGCGAGCGTTCAGTGGTTCAAATCTCGGTCGAACCGCTTTAAAAAAAAAAATTTTTTCTGTTTTTTTTTCCTTCACTAAATGGATCCTTATGTAGTTACGATATTTTTTCTGAATAAAATTTTCATTTTAAAGCTGTTTTTATATTTTTTTCTTACGTGGGGGAGAAAATATAAAAACAGCTTTAAAATTAAAATTTTATTCAGAAAAAATATCGTAACTACATAAGGATCCATTTTGTGAAGAAAAAAAAAACAGAAAAAAAAATTTTTTTTAAAGCGGTTCGACCGAGATTCGAACCACTGAACGCTCGCGCCATTAATAAGCCACAAGATGCCAGCCTGGGACGCCTGTGTCCAAAATCCCTTTCCCAGGAAAGAAAATTGTACAATAACAGTTTTTAGAAGGGCAGACCACGACCGTATCTTGCTTCTCTCGTGTTTTTCAACTCCCACCGTGTTTATATCAGAGGACTGAACGGACATGCGCGACGTTTTATATGTGATATTTAAAAAACGAGTAGGAGGATTTTATCATGAGATATAAACACGACGAGGCCGAAGGCCGAGTATTTATGTCCACGATAAAACACCCAAACCTAAGAAACTACAATAAACATGAAATAAATAAAAAAATATCAATGAAAAATGAATAATTGATGAAGATATCTCCATCTGAGCATGAGCAGTAATCAGCTTGGTTTAGCACATCCAAGCGCCACTATGTTTTAGTCTACTGTGACTCTGCAAATAAGTAATTTCAACTCGAGACCTAGTGAAGTTCTATGATGAGAGTCTAAAACTGAGAACTTTTCTAGTGTTGGGCACACATCGAGTTTCCGTAAATCAGTTGCAACACTGATGTTTTATGCATGAGTGTTATAACTAACTGAACCGGTTAGTTATAAGACTCATGTTTAATTAATCAGTGTTTATAACTTGAGTTATAGATCCTTTCATGTGACCCATAGTTGAATGCTCATTGGAAGAATGTCTACTGAATAATTCTTTCATGAGTTTTAGAATTCTTAATACAGCATACAACGTCAACTGCTTACTATAAGTTACAGCATACAGGAGGCAAAGAGTGTCTACTTAATTTAGAGAGTTGATAGGAACACGTGATTTCTCAGTGTCCATTTCGGCTATACTAGGACACAAACAGCGTGCTGCATTTTCGCGGGCCACATGTATGCGAGAAATACAAGCTACAAAAACAAAACAGCAACTTGAAGTGCATATTGTCCGTGTTTCTCGATTTTAATGGCCTGTATTTTTGTTGCGCATTGCCAGTGATCAGACAAGGCGAAAAATTACTCCAAACTTGAACAGCAAAAATGTTGTGAGACAAATTTTATGGTAATCACATTGTCTTTAACACTACATGCGTTATTTTTCAGGTTCGATTTGCTGAAGATACTGGATCAAGTAAAGTCACAGCATCACTTCTAATTAGTATTATCGCGGGATCTTCGCTTGTTGGTCGACTATTTTGTGGCTGCATAGCTGACCTTGGCTTCTGTAGCCGACTTCATATTCTCCAAATTGCACTACTTTTCACCGCAGTGGCCACGGTATTAGTGACACTAGCACAATCATTTGCTGGTATAGCGTTATACGCAGCAGTGTTTGGATTCAACGAAGGCATATACGTACTGCTGTTTATGGTCATTATACGAGATATCGTTGGTATACAGTATATTGCCTTCTCCGTTGGCGTAGCTTATGGAATCTTGGGAATTCCTAAGACCCTTGGTCCTCTTTTAGCAGGATTTGTTTTCGACTTAACTAGGAGTTATGCACTCGCTTTTACCTGTGCAAGTGTATTTGTGTTTTTTTCTTCAATACTTTTATCCTTTATAAACATTACTAGATCTTCACAGTTAACTTGCATTACGAATTCTAAGACATTACGATGCGACGAGGAGATAGTAACTTGCAAAGAGACAACAGTCTGATACGTTAATTTCCAGGAGTGGATCAAGGACTTTCTTCAGTCGTGTAGTTCCCCCGGGTAGTGGATTCTCGCTGCATAAAATTGTCATAGCGGAGACACAAATAGGGTAGTAGTCAAGGGTTTAGCGCATCAGGTGAGGTGCCCAGCCCTGCACCACTACTAATTTTATATAAAAAAAAAATATAGTAGAGAACGCTTATGTCATAACAACAACCAAATGACCGTGTTATGATTGAAGGATACATTTTTAAGCACTTTACAAGCCTTTATACAAATTTTTTGATCCTGGATATTTTCTCGACAGGGCCTGTCCACGCACGTGACAGAGAATGACCTGATTAGAGTATCATTAAAGTACCTTATTGTTGGTTTATTCTTGTCTTTATTGAGACCATTGAGTATTCTCTTTTCGCTGACTCGCAGCTTCACATCAGAAAATTCTTTGCATTTGGAAATAAGCGTAACCTATGCAATAAAAGCAATAACTTTTTCAACACTCTCAATCTTCAAAACAACTTTTTTCACAATCAGCAGTGAAGATGTCTCACCATATCTGCTAAGCTTTCCGATCCTTCAACATTGAGAAACTGCTTCATTGTATCGTAAGCGATGCAGTAACGAGCCATCAATTGACCAGGTTCTGCGTTATGGAACAGATATGTATACATGTATTTAGTATGCCAGCATGCTTGATATACTTCTGATTTTTTTTCGTAAGCTTATTACATAATTGATGATTTCTGCATTATGATCGATAAACACTAGCAAACAAACTAAAGACCAGTCAATCCACAGTTATCGTCAATTCGACTAGCCACCAACTATGTAGTACATACCTGCAGGTTTCAAATCGAATCCGTCGTCCATTTTAGTAAGTGTTGCCTTTTCAAGGGTATTCAGATTTCTGATGCACATATCTACAAATCCAAAAGGACGCATTGTTCGTGGGTACAAGGGTAATAAGCCATGGGTACAGGTGCATCAGCATTAGAAAGGTTTGCCGATGTAAACATTTCCGTATAGATATGGCTCGGGAAACTCATACAAACCTTGAAGTCGCTGCTCAAGAGCATTCGCACTTAAACCAGATGGGATTCCTGGAAAGTCACAGTAAACTATTTTTAGTGCTGGCGTGCTTCCTGAGCAGATCAAAAAAACTAATCTGAAACTAGCAATGAAGTAGAAATGATGGAGAGTTATGTGCTAGAGAAGAAATTATAAGTTCCGGAAGATCTCTGGAAAATTGATTTTCGACCTTGCTTGGATTGCCAACCCACAAGACCTTCGGATTTGTACTACCGATGCTCTACCAGTTGAGCTACAAGGTCTTTCTTATTTTAAGTTACGGAAAATGTATGTTCGTGTAAAATTACTTAGTTATAGATATTAGAAGAACGATCAGTGGAACCGTTCCCATCGATCGACTTTCCTCGCAATTAAACATCATGCCTGTTTGTTCATTCCAAGTTCAAAAATGAATTATGAGTCTTTATTGGAGGTAATCCGCGTATCATCACTATCAGCACACGATGCGCAGCATGCGTTTGGCTGAAGGCGAACAACTTTACATATTCCGTTTTTGTATGGCAATGAAGATCGTTTAAAATTGTACAAGTTTTACCATAATGAGTTGGATTTTTCTGTATCCTGATGTATAAGAACGTGGATTTCAACCACTCTAGTGCAATAGAGACGTCTGTAATTGTGTGAAGGACTATTTCTGCGTTCAAATGCTCTATAAGGTGGTGATGCAAACTGAAATAATGTAAAAAAAAGGAAGTGTAAATTAAGATAGGGTGTTTTGGTTTTCAGGTGATTTCACGGCGACCATAAAGTGTTTCTCAATAATATACATTCATGGCTTTCCATACCCTATTTCAGTGACTACGAACAAAACATTGGACGGATGTGTGAAGGAACACTGAGCTCAGATCTTTCCTTTTTGCTCACTCTACCTTGACGCAATGGGCTCAATGGTTTAATAGAGGTCACTGAACTTGAGTACGAAATATCGTGAATTGCTTGTATTATTATAAGTAATAGCATGGCTCTGAGGGAGATTAGGGATTAAATGTCCCCGAAGCCGAGGGCTGATAAGTTGAAGTCCCGACGGCCGCAGGCCGGAGGGACTTTTACTTATCTGCCCGAGGCTGAGGGACATTTAATCCCTAATCTCCCGAGGAAGCCATGCTATTACTTTGTAATACCATGATTTCCGAGGAAAAAATTGAAGTTGAACTTGAGCGAATTTGAATTCTTGTTTTTTTGTATGCTCCAATGTTTTCAATTCATGCATGAATTGGAATATGACATGAAAAGAAAGGATACGCACTGTTCTAAGAGTATCACTCGCCGAACAACAGTAGAAAATGATATTGATAATCCGACCATTGTTACTGATTTCCCACAACGAACTTTGTTTGAAATTGCTTTTCAATTCTATTCAATGCTGAAGTTAACGAACCTTAACTTCAACCGCGAAATTTGTTTTTATATTTGCAAGTATAATGCCAAGAAGCTTATCAACTATTATCAAACATTGAAATTCGTCAAGTGCACATGCTCAGCGGTACGAAGTATATATTCGGAACCAGAGCTACTCGGTCAATTTGTCCCAAAAATCATCCCACATTTCAGTGTGAATGAGACGATAACCAGACCGTTTATTGCAGAGGTAAAAAAAAGACAGCTGTAGGGACATTCAGTTGTCCCTGCTGGGAAGCAAAGGTTTCCTTTGCCTTCCGTTCCTCATGAATAACATGAGGGACGATTAGTCTAATCGTCCCTCATGTTATTATGCATGACGATTACTGGTAATCGTCCCTCATGTTATTATGCATGATGGACGATTACTAGTAATCGTCCCTCATGCCATTCATGAGGGAGGGATGTTCGCTTGTAAACATCCCTCGGAAGACAAAAGAATCCGAGGTGATCATGGTATTATATAACAAAATGGCCACAGGAAAGGGAAGACTTTTCAAATTTCCTCCCCTATGCTCCTTGAAGTTTTGTATAACCCAGATCTTTGTATTGATTGTTCTTTTAAAGTGCACTTAATATATCCGTGGAAAACATGGTTTGCAAGCTGAATCAGGCAAATCAACATAGAATCCTTTGTCTTCAATGGTACACTAATTCAAAGATTACCTGCTCTCGATATTTTGTGTTCCCTGGATTAGAGCGTTGTATTTTTCCTTAAAATGAATATTTGCGAGTGAAATATTAAAGAATCCAAAGTATAAAAACTAGACAATATGCTAAGGTAATGTCATACTTTGTTGGCTGTTGTAGTCAAGATTACCGCTGTTGCAGAAGTATCGAACTGTAAACGATATAAAACATGAATCGGTGAATAAATAATATTTTCACATAAAAAGATAGTACATTTGTCTGAGTTCATATAAAACACATCAAGAGACGATATACCATTTTCTGTTTGCAGGGCCGATGAGAGCAAATTTAACTTTACTCTGCTCTGCACTGCTTCGCCTTTTTTTAGGTGAAGAGGAAATATGCGCCGTTCTGATCAAAATACAATTTATTTCTTGCTCTTAATTGTCAGAAAAAATGTATTAGTGACAAACCTGAGGTCGACCAGCTCTTCCAATCATCTGTAATACTTGTGTTTCTGAATATTCTGTGAACATTCCTAACTGATAACAGTGTGTTGATTTGATGATAACGAGATGAGCCGGTAGATTCACCTGTCACACATAACTATTTTAGTCATAACACTTTATATTATATCGCAATCACGTCACGGTATATAACCTTGAGCCAAATATTTTCCCATCAGTGGCATCCCCACTCAGTCCATAAGTACATATAATTTTAAAATAGTGACTCCGTACTCACCCCAATAGCAAGAGTACTTGTAGCAACTTCAAAACGTTAACAGACCAAAAGTAAAATATTGAGAAAATAAAAAGAAAACAAACAATAGAGAACAACAGATTAATTAATGTGGGTGAAGGAACGGAAGAAAATGGGATATAAATAATGGATGGGGAGATACGCAACTTTGAGCGGAGCAGGGCTTCAGGTATCATCAGAAAATGCCGTTTAAAAACAAAAAAAACATGCTACTTACATAGCACTGGAAGTTCTCCATTCAGAAATATGTTCTCAATACTTTTCCGATCGGTACTATCGAGTCCAGCATGGTGATAGCCAACCCCACAAATGACAAGGTCTTTGAATTAAGTAAAATTCCTTTCAGATACTAAAAGAGTTTAATACATGGTATTTTTAGCTTTACCTCTTAGTTTTGAATCGTGCAATGAATTGGCAACCTGTTGAAGCCTGAAAAAAAAATGCAGAAAACATAACGCGATCGCAGCTATCAGATACAGTTCTCCCTGATCATCAAAAGTACCTTTGACGGTGTTGCGAATTAATAACAAATCGAGATTCCTTGATAAGTGTGTTGGCAGCTTGCTGGGTGCTTTTTCTTGTCGAGCAAAACTGAAACAAATCATACAAATTAGTCCAATGAAGCCATCATCTAACTTAATTCCATTCTCGACTCTGACACTTCCGTTTGGATACAATACATATTGGATAGAAAAGATTGCATTCGGAAAGAAAATGATTGTCCATCCTAGTGATAGTCAGCAATAATAATAAATATGAAAACTTGTATAGCGCATATACAAGTCTGTTCTATGCGCCCTGGTATAACAAAAAGAAACAATTTAAACTCTAAAAGCTAAACTAAACAAATAAGTTTTAAGTTCTTTCTTAAAGGACAGCAGAGAGTCAATGTTAGGAAATTCAAATGGGAGAGAGTTCCATAAAGTAGGGGCAGCAACAGAGAAGGAGCGAGAGCCATATGTTTTCATCGAGTAAAGTTTAGCAGACAGGAGTAGTTCTTTAGAGGGACCAACAATAAATGGTATAACTTGCTAATAAATATATCTAGCAGAATAGTTACAGAACAGTAAAACACTTTTCATAAAAAAATCCAACATCAATGCATATAATATTCCTCATATAATATTCTTCCCTCTTGAGATTCAACTCCGTTTCTTTCTTTTACATTTTAAAAGTCCCGACACGCTCGGAAACGTTTGACTAAACTACTACGTTATCAACCTTCATATTTGTGAAATTTATTCAAAGACGATTATGTCTATAACAGGACTATATTAAAAAACGTTTAGGTATGGTCTGACCTTTGGAAAATAAAGATTCTTTTTTCGTTGAGGGAGGGGGATAGTTGTGTAGGGATAACACTACTTGTTCTATGCTTAGATCGCTTCGCACTCTTTACTCGTTACAGATTATAGAGATATAGTAATCCTAAATTTCCTATTCTGTTTCAATATTAAAATTGCAATGCTTATGCATCCTTACCACTAGTGTTGGTTTACCATCAGAGTAGGTATTGATAACACCACTCAACTTGTAGTTTAATGATAAATCAAACTTAAATTCTGACATATTAGAATGCTGGGGAAATCCAAGGACGACTTTACGTAGCTTCACAGGACGATAGGAATCATCCATGCTGAAAACAATCAATAACATTACCTATGTCAGCTGCCGGTCATTTACCAATGCTCGATCTGACTTTAAGGGCAGTACCCAGGGTAACCCTCATGACCCAAGTGCCATATAAAGAAAGAACATCATCCAACAATATATTAGTCGTCGTTTATGCTTAATATTCCACTATACTAATAATGACAACCATCGCTATCCAATGAAGCAGTAGTACAGCATGAGCAATTTCAACTAAACTCTTTGCTTGAAAGTCAAAACGCTTGACTTATATTTCATGCCGTCATGTTGTATAGACCCCTTGCAGATCATGGGAACGAAGTTCCAACTGCAGTACGAAAGAAGGGGGATTCTATCCCAAGAGGACAAAAAAAATTGCTATGTGCTCTAGAGGATGCTTCTTTGATGTAAAATGCCAGGAGTCTATACTATTGTAGGCTATATGTTATTTTGTCTATTTTTTTATTTTTTTATTTCTGTTTTTTTCTTTGGAATTCAGCGTTTTCTGCGTCAAGATAACGAGATTTTTTTACATTGTCTACAAATTTTACTCTAGCATTTGCTATTGGAATTACAAAATGACAATTCTAAACTGAAAGAAGATCTTCATTTCGACAACAATGCAATTGGAAAGCAAAGAAAGTCCCAGGTGTAACCGAGAGCCGTTTGATCAAGGGTGATGATCTATATATTTTACAAATGATCTGAGTGAAAATCACGCAAAGCTAGGATCTTGGATTCATGCTCGGGTCTTTAAGAACTGGAAAGACCACCATCGTTCTGAATGCCTGTCGCGTTATATCACAATTATATCAATATATTTTGTTATAATATGGAATATACATTGATACCTGTAACTCGAGGCAGGGCTATCTAAACCTCCAATCCATAAAGCGATCTAGTAAAAAAAACTTTTTAATGCTAAGATGTAAAAAGAGATATATATAACATATCATGCAGAACCGACAGAATGGTTGTAAATTTTGATCGCTCGCGTAGCCGTAATCCTTTCTCAGGAACCTGAGAGCCGAATAGACTCCGACAGGACGGCGTTTTGGTGGCTACGAGAGATTTCATATTCAACTAATCTTCGTGAATTTCATTCAGTCTCATGTAACTAAATACATTTAATTGTTCCTTCCGCCAAACATGACCTCCTTTATTTTGGCCCATTTTGTAAAAACTTCGAAACTCCTACGTGCCAAGCTCAATGAGAATTTCATGCGAGCTGCAGTGAGATTCGCACTACTTACATCCTCCACGTTAGGAATGGTGGCGGATATCGCTATCAATCGCATATTGTCTTTCGACATGGATTCCTTTTTGCCACGACTCAGCGCAGTGTGAACTGTTTTCATACGACTTATTACAGCCTCTACTGTTGCACCTCGATCTCCGTCATTCAAAATATGAACCTGAAAGAACATATCATCACTATCAATAACACTTGTAAATATAACGTTTCACAATATCAAATGCAAATATCCTTCTTTCGCCCTATAGCTTTATCCGTATTTGCAAAATGTAAATAGTTTCATTGATTTTGTAAGGCAACAACAACAAGAACGTAAATAAGGGTAAAGTTGCTTGGACTTCGATTCCCGTCGTGCTTTGCTCGAGATCGAAAATATACATTATATATTGGCTGTGTTTGACCATATCTATATTTGAGAAAAAGCCGACTATCGAAGGCTTCCATGTCATGAATAGGCATACTGCTCATTACCTCGTCAATTAAGAACAGTCGAACACCTTGAACTAACGACCTGTTATCCTTCCATTTCCTTGTCATGCTGTCCCACTTTTCCTGTTTCAAAAAAAAGGATCCCTTATTTCAATACTTATGATTGTTTTGCTACATCCATAGGGGTAACAACTTTGGAGAAGGTTTATTCAATTTCGGGATACTCTATTATATAGTGACGGATGAAAAGCAATCTGAACGACTGTATAGTTTGACTGCAATTTGTTTTTTTGTTGTTGTTTTGTTTTTTTCGATTTTTTAGCCAGTCAATAATAATGATAATAATAAAGACAAACCAAGTCAGATTAATTTTTTTCGTGATTATTTAAGATTGCAGATTTTTTCTATTTGATTGACATTTTTGAATAGATGCAATTTTTATGGTGTTAAAGACTCTCTTACCGGTGTAGTAGTAACAATATGCGTGTCTTTCAGTTCATAATAGTCGTCCAGCTCACTATCGCCAGTAACCTCTCTGCACTTTAATCCCAAATGACCAAACTTAGCTGACCAATCTTGATGTCTTTCACTGCATAAGGCTTTCATCGGGGCCACTGCAACGGAAACGTAGGAGTTTATTATTACAAATTGGATCAACTGACAATAAGGTTGATCAAACCGAAAATTTGTTATCATGCAATCATGTTAAACATTCAGCTACAGCACTATTGAGCTTTCTAGGAGATTGCGAGGAATACTTTTCAACGACGTCGTATTTTTTTATTTGTTCTTTTGTTGTTGTTGTTGTTGCTGTCAATTTTTTCTTTTCTTTTTTTTTGGTTGCTGTTGTTGTTGTTTCGGCTTTTTGTTGTTGTTATTGTTGCTGCTGCTGTAATTTCTTCTGTTGCTGGTTTTTTTAGCTTTTATACGCATGTTCCTCGTGTTTAATAGTTCGATTCGTCTCACCAGATTCCAAACAAGAAAACATGTTTGATTGAAGACTCATATATAGATAGACTTTTCCTTTGATTTGATACGATATCATGTCAAGGGGATCTACCTACTATATTAAATACACTGCACTCACTGTATACTATCTTGGTCTTGTGCAAAGAAGCACCCGCTGTCATCAGAAGACGAACTATTGCAAGTTCAAATATAACGGTCTTGCCTGCTCCAGTCGGTGCGCACACAACAAGAGGTTTATCTGTATATAGTACCTAAAATATATGAACCAAATACGAACAAACGAAAAAACAACAGCAAAAAAAAAACATTTCAATATCTAATTCAAGTCAGTTCCGCACGATTCGCGTACTGCTTGCAATAGTACTCTGAAGATTTACGTAATGTACCGTACACGCAATGCACTGTAGGATATCTTTGTGACAGAACATGGCGAAATGAACCCACAATGCATTGAAAGTCAATCAAGTAATGACGCAAAAGGTTCAGAGGTCAATTAAGCTTGAAAAAGCATTTTCCGGCTATAGGACTGCAAATTTCAATCTCGAGGCGAAAACTTGAGACCGGAGATGCATTCTACCTAAAATTATACATAGTGCAAAAAAAAAACATACCTCATCAAATACCCTTGACTGAACGATATTGAAATAAGGGAATTGGCTAAAAACAGAACGGAATTGTTCAGCTGTACGAGAAGTCAAGGAAAAGTGAAATTACTATCTGGTATAAATCTTTTGGTCATTAATTATCAGTAAAATCAGTATCTGGCATTGATCACTATATACTTTTCTAATTTAATTTTCGTATTACAAAAACATATGAAAAAGATACGTATTTCGGATGTTGAACGCAGTTTTTCTCTTCCATCCTCATTAGCAAAGCGTGGTGTTCGTGCTGTGAGAATAGAAAGAGATCATTATCTTTTAGACAAACTTTAATGAAATATTCTGCATGCTTTCTTTTGATTTTGGTAAGGTCTTTGCGCATGAGAGACTGTTGTCAACTAAAGCAGCGGTTGCTCGCTTTGAACTGGAAAAAGGCTTATCAAAACATATTCTAATCAATTTCGGCGTACGCCACGTATATTTGATTGCGGGGGGCTTACGACCACCGAAGTCGGGAGTTATCTGGGGAGTCTAGGCATTAGTACTATCGGAAATACGATTTCCAGCGTTTTGAGTGGCAGCGAGAGCATATAAATTCCATTCAATTTTTTTACATTACTAAATCCTCCACATAACCATGCATTCATCGATCAAGAATATTTTTGGCACGTTTTCCTGGCTGGCAATAAAAATTCAAATTACTCTCATATCCGGGCATATGATAGATGTTATAGATAAAAACTTACCTGGAATCAAAAGAGGATTTGGTGTACTGAATGAGTTCTCATAGTGAGAATGATGAGATGATTTCTCATTTCTAGAATCACTGTCAGCAACTCCTTCAGCAATAAAAAAGGGAGTTTAAAAACTTACACATTCATCAATATATACTAGCCACCTTGAATATATTCAAGTTTGAATGCGCCTGCAGAATAGATGCAGGATAGAAGAAGACATAACAGAAAAAACGCATGTGGTATCCTTATTTCATGGCTGCAATATCAGAAAATTTCAATCAGGTATCATAGTACAGAGGGGCCATGCAGTGGCCTTCAATAATGGGTGGCTACTGGTAGCATAGCTTGCCAACTATTTTACAATCTACTGCTGGATATATTGTGTCAAACTTAATTGTATTAATGTCAATTGTTTGGGAAACAGATGCCTACTTTAATTTAATCACTCAGATGCTTATATTCAAAATAATAATGATACTTTGGACATGGGTTCAAATCAAAATGTTATATTTGACAGATATTTACTAATATTTACTATATGAGCCAGTAACCTAAATGACCTCTTAAAACTCTTTAACAAAAGTTAAAACTCTTTAAAAGCAGGGACATGTTTATATTTTTAGCTGTAATGTGGCCAATATGAGCAGGGCTTGATAGATATGGGAAAAGCACTGTTTATAGTGATTCTACATAGGCTACTCAGTCTACAAGAGAATACATGTTGATGCATGTATTTTTGATATCAATGTTGGACATATTTTACCTCGCTCATGTTCATCCCCATCCTTTGGCCAAAGATCTTGTGTAGCAGTGGATTGATAAGATGGAAAAAGCTCAGGAGAGTCGTCAGGATACATATGTTGTTCATGATCATCTTCAATACCCTCTAACTCAGCTCTTGGAGGTGAGTGAAAGAGCTTATTTGTTGGTTGACTAACATTTGTTAACTTGGCAGGGAATTTTGGTTTTTGGGTGACTGTATCCGGAACTTTTGATTGCCCAAATTTGCTGGAGTTTTCTTTGAAAGCTTGTGTTGATATAATATCTTTTTGAGAGCTTTGAGAAAAGAAGTCGTCGAAATCTAAAGGAACTGTGGGAAGGCTTGGGACACTGGATACCCGAAAGGGATGCCTGGAAAGGTAAAACAATATTACTATTATAATTCATAACATTAAAAAAAACAATAAAAATAAAAGAAAGTACTAAAGGAATAAAAAACAATAAGTTATGAAAGCACGCATGCACTCTTATTTGTCAATAAAATGGAAATTTGCGAGTTATTTAAGCTGGGAATAAAACAACAAAGAAGATTTTATATATAAATGACACAGGCTTATAAGCTAGGCTTATTTTATGAAAATCTTACTGACACTTTCACTTGATTAGACTTTTTTTCCTTATCGTAGTTACTGGCAGGTTGTGAAAATATGTTCTTCTTCGGCAGTGAAAAGCAGCTGAAAAAATCATCCTGTGGGCAACAAAGAAAAGAAGCTTTTAAATCTAAACATAATACCTTAACATATTCCTTTGGCCGAATCCTCATCTTGTTTTACTAAAACCATTAATTTATATTCAAACTTAATAAGCTTAAGTCAATCTTAAGCTTAACTTTTAACTCACACGTTTACGGGTCTTAACTTCTTTCATTGTTTACACAATTGTCTCAATAAAATTTATACCAAAAAATACTTACATCTATCATCTTAACGCTCCTTCCTCTGATGTTATAGAAGTGAAATAATAGAAATAATACTGTTTTTCAAGCAGACATCTCTTGTCGACGAAGACGGATGCATGCAGCGTACCGTTGTGGGCATGGCGGGAAAACGAGACGCACGCACGCGCGTTAAACGATTTCGCGCCAAAAATGTTTTTTCTGCTGCTACTTCCGGTGCCTTTGTTTTTCAGTTCTGGTTTTCAACAAACACAAAATTCAAAACAAATCGCGAAACTCTTCTGATTTCATAATAATAATTTGTTCAAACATTCTACTAAAAACCCACGTGATGAATGAACAGATGAAAATTTCAGCAAATGTGAATATATAGCAAGTTGAAAAATAAGCATTAAGTACGTCTTTGTACTCATATAGGTTTTCAGTTGACTCCTTCCAACTACATGTAGTACTGCTTGTAGGTATATTAAACACTGATTTCTTATATTAAAACAAAGAATTATCATTGTTAAGGTTGAATGCTGTTGCTGTTGTTTTTGTCGTTGCTGTTGTTTTTGTCGTTGTTGTTGTTTTTGTTGTGGTTGTTATCTAATACCTTCATCATAGTAAGTACAATCAATGACAATAGTTACCAGACAAATGAGAATTAAACAGTCTTTTCTGGACAATTAGTTTATTTCTTGACTTCAATTTGTGACAATAAAACACAACAGCTATGCATGATTAGAAATTTTCAGTCAGTGGAATTGACATGGTCATGTTTCTTCAAGGAACTTGCTTGTCATAACTACAATGAACAAGTAGTTTTGCTACTTTTTTATATTAAAAAAAATGTTTGTTTAGTATTTGGCATCTTGAAGTGAGCCCTGTAATGGAGAAAACAGTTCAATGTCAGGAAAAAAATAAACAATAATAATAACAACAACAAAAAGCAACCTACAAAGAAATAAAAAAACAACAAACAAACATCTACTGTACATTGTGTTAGGGGCAACTGCTTGATGAGACTGTTCTCTTATATAGCCATTTTTAGATTTAATACATTATATTTATGGCAACAGTACTTGAGAAGAAGCATTTATTTTAGAGGAAAGAAAAAAAAATCATGTCACTGGATTCTGATATGCTTTGTATACACCCTTTTGTATAGTAAAAGTTTCAGAAGAATAAATTTGACTTCAAGTGCAGAGAGCACAATACCTCACAAATTTTATTACATATAAAACTATGAGGACACTGTACTCATTAGTCTCCCTTGCAGCCTGTTTTGGTTTTGGGCTGCCTGTGCCATCTAATGTGAGGCTACAGTACACCTAATACAAGAAGAAAAAGCAGCAAAACATTTACAATTTGCACTTGTAGCCTTAATGTTATTCATACATCTGAAAAGAAGTACTGTACACCTAGCAAAATGTATTTAACTTACCAATCTGGATTTCTGTACACATAGCTGAAAATCCTTTACAAATTGTGAACAACGGAGAGTTTGTTGGGGATACTGTTGGTAGCAGTCAATAACTTGTTGCTGTAAACTTGAACAGACTGCTGGTCTATGATTTTGTCTGCAAAATGTTATAATATTAAAAATAAGAACAATTTTCAATAAAACGTTGCTTCTCTAAACTGATAGTCTCCTCCTCAAGCCGTTATGAGGTTCAGTCCCAGATTTCAACAGCTGTTCAACCTAAAGACTAGTAAATTGACAATGTAATAATAAGCTTCAAAGCTTATTATTTTTTGTGCTCCACGTTGTCAATTTACTAGTCTTTAGGTTTAACAGCTGTTGAAACCTGGGACCGAACAAAACATAAATGATCTGATCTGATAGATATCACAACTTAAACACAAAATAATGAAATGTTTTCACAGTTTTCATTTTCCATAGATTTTGGCTTTTATTATTATCTTTTTATATTTTCTAATGCAATCTGAAAATCCTTTACAAATTGTGATTCTAATTCAATCATTTATTTTTTCTTAAATTGATGTACATGTATTTTAAATTTAAATATTTTTTTTTCTTAAATTGATGCTGGTGTACTTTTTTATAATTCATTGAATTCATATTTTATTGATTTAAATGTTGTTGCTGCTTTGTATCATTTCTTTTGCTTGTTTGGCTTGGATGAGAAACTTGCATGCAAGCTCACAAGGCTGTCATTTCAAAGTTTACCTAAATTTTTCTTGAACTTCATTCACTGCTGCATTGAATTCCTTTTCACAAAGAGCATCTATATTAGCATTCTGAAAAAAATATTGTTTACAAATGAATGGATTGTAAACCATAACTTGACCCAATAAAATATCAAAATACCATAAAATTGTGGGTATATTAGTTGACTAATTTACAAAGCTTGCTATTTGCATAGGAGGGAAACACATAATATGCAGTGCTCAACATAAATGTATTTGTAAATTGTCAACAAAGCATTATGGTTATCAAGTTATCAAGCTCTCACAATCCTTCTGCTAGATCAATTTTGATTTTGCTAAAACGAAACTCAAGGTAGCTGCGTGCTACTTCTAGACATAAAACATAAAAATGTACTTAAGGAAAACTTAATATTTTGTATATTGTACAATATTTTGTACAATATACAAAATATGACCAGGAGACCTTTATGGGGTTATAAAGGTTAGATTCTAATTAGCAACCAAGAAACATTGCTCTGATGTATACAGCAAGCCACATACTCTACCTGTTGTTTTAGATTTTCTATTTCACTAATTAGTTGATTTTCTTTAAGTGTGTAGGCCTCTTTTAGTCTGCCTAGTTCCTCTGTGTTGACATTTTCACTGAATTCACTATTTGCAACAGATCCTCTTCCCTGGATAGAATTTTTAAATTAAGATTTTTAATTAATTTTTAAAAGACGTCAAATGAAAAACAGTCAGAAAATAAATAAACACTTTCACTAAAAAAGTTAATGTTATCAAATCAATTGTTAATCTAAATTGATTCAATTACACTGTAGTAATGTAACAACATCAAGTAAAAGAATATAAAGTTATCTGGAAGTTTCAAGTCATACACTGTAGTCTCTATTTTTGTTTTTACATGCAATGACATGTTATTTTCCCATACTTATCAATAAATTGCTGTACAATCTATGTATATATTATTATATTTTAAAGTCTATACCTCTTCAAATGCCTGTTGTAGAAGTCCTTCCAGTTTATGCCTCTGAGCTTCAAGATGGGCTTTTTCACTCTGCAACTCTCGCCATAATTTATTGATTTCCTCTAAAAAATAATATTTCATTTGCTTTCAACACTTTTAACTTCTAGCCCACTGCTGGTTATTTTTTATATCACTTAAAAAATCCCGCAAGACTCAGGCCTTTGAGATGTTTTAACAAATGCAAGAAAATTGAATTTTGAACAATAAATTATTATTCATCATTTCATTTTATAATTTCATCACCTGGGGTCAAGTTTTCGTTGCTTTGTAATGGAAGATCTTTCTTTCCTTGTAAACGTCGAACTACACGTTCTGAAACCTTATAAATCATAAACCTCTTAAACTTTTCTTAATAGCAGTAGCAATAAGCTTGCAATTTTACCAAATATTTTTAACAAAATGATTAAAATACTTACTCTTACGACGCCTACACTTTCACTTTCTGCATCTCTTTCCACTGTCACTCGTCTTGTTGACTCACTACTGCCCATTTTGTAGGTATAAAATAGACATCAAGCTGGACAAATTCCACCTTACACAGCCGCCATTTTGATTTGACGCCAGCGATATTTTGGACAGCGGTATATATTAGCACAGAAAGCCCAAAAAGAAAAAATAGAGCTGTCGCTCAAGTAACTGGAGCAAATACTGTTATGTAAGATATGCGCTGTATCGACCTTATAAACACAGAAAAAAATCGATTTTCGGAAAACTGTCCATTCTCCGTCATCCTCGGAAATCAAAGCAAAGGGAATATTTAATAGAATCTCATACCTCAATTTTAAAGTCGTGCGTTGATTGGTCAACACGTCAACCGGATGAGAGGGTATTTCAAGTGGAATTCAACGGTGAGAAACCTGAATTCAACGCTGAGAAACCTGAATTCAACGCCCCGATAAGCTACCTTAAAAACACTTGCGTTATTTCAACAATTTACTCACAAAATCCGTGTAAAACCCTGGCAAAAGTTATTATCTAATTGTTTTAGTTCCCAACAACTTGTCTATTCACTTTCTCTAGATTTCAAGAAGCAAAATATTTTTATTTTTTGCAAATTAAGTAGCAAAAACAAAAACACATTTAAGTTAGTTAAGTTTAACTCGATAAAAGCAACGTTTTCAAACGAAAAAATACCCCAAAACTCATAAATATAACGTCACAATTAATTATTAAAATACTATTTATTAAATACCTGCATGGTAGTGTAATACATTTTAAAGTTTGTCAAGATCAGTTCATCTACGTAAACAAAAATTGAGCGGCCTTCGCCGTTTCTTGCACGCCGTTTCTTGCAGAAAACTAAAGCTGTTTCGCTTGTCATTTTTTCTTGAATATTCCATGCCAGAACAAGTTATGGGATGAATTTATGAAATGTTTCTGTGTTTGAGTTTTTCAGCTACTTTTTGATTGAGAATGTCTACTACTAGTACGCTTTCTTTCACAAGTAAACATGAAGTAGGTTTTGAAGTCTGCTTGGCAAGTCAGGGCTACTACTGACTTCGACGAGTTTCGTTCGTCCAAATAAGACTCAAAATATGACTTTAAACTTGTTTTCAATTTTTCAGTAACAACCTTTCGAAGTCTTTTCTTCATAGATGATATTTCTAATCGAGATAAGAATGGAAAACTGTAGAAATCTTAGGATTTGTGGCCCTGGTCTGTCTGCAAGTTTGCCGTCCGCCGATGATCGTTGCAAACTCGCTCTGAAAAACCGGTTTGAGCTTGTCAGTAAAAATACTGAAAAGCCATTCGAGTGCTAAAAATTTGTTTGTTTTAGTTATTAAAAAGTAATATTTCTTTAGCTAAAATGAAAAAAAAAA